AAGAGAGAGAGAGAGAGGGAGAGAGAGAAAGAGAGAGAGAGAGAGTTCCCACAAACCTCCAGCTGTGACTGCTTCGCCTTCTGTGCATCGAGAGCTTCCTCACTGACCCGCAGCTTGGCGGTCAGTTCAGACAGCTGGGCCTGGACACCTGCCTGAGCCACGCTGACAGAAGACTTCTCATTCTCCAGCACAGACTGGGGAGGAAATGATAACAGTCTTGTAGAAAAAACACAAAAAAGTGGTTGATATAAGGTCCACAGGACTTGAATGTCATGAAGCAAAATCCTAAGAGGAAATATGTCCAAAAAAAATACTATAGAGATCGCTGAACAAAATAATTCCAAGCAGAAATTTTAAAAACTTTTTTTTAATAACAACAAAATACAAAGTAAAGATTATGACCAAAAAAACCATTAAATTAGATACTAAAGTATTATTTTCGACTAGAAGTAAATTCCTAAGTGGAACAAACATAAAGTTTAAAAAGGTGAAAATGTTATACAATAAAAAGTAAAGGTCCAGTTGAGGTCTCCTTTTTCAAACAGGTTAAAAATGGTTTTTTTTTACACATGAAGACATGGCTACCGCCATTTAGTAATATGGAGACATTATTTCATAAGGTATGATGACTCCACACTTCAATTTTCTTTCATCATGAAGAAGGCTGAACTAAACATGAGTCCTGGAAATTACACGTCAAAGGCAAGATGACTAACTACTCTACAGACATTTTTCTTTCAAATTATTCCTATTTCAACCAAGGCAAAAGAGATTTTCAAACAAAGAGAAGATGAGACAACAAGGCATAGCACACGCTTATGAAAACCCACAATCTTATTCTGGAGATTCTTTATTTCTTTCGCAGTGTCTAGAGGAACATCCTTCAGCCTCTCCTCCTCCAGTTCCTCTTTCCTCTGTTTCAGGCTGGAGATTTCCTGCAAAGTTAATATTTCAACAAACCATGAGACACAAACAACAGAAAAGTACACTGCAAAATCAAGAAACCTGCATACTTCTTGATACCCACAAAAAAACTGAAAGTAAAGAAGAAAATTGATTGTTTTTCAAGTCAAATTTGCTTGTCACTCTTATATGCTACATTCATATTTCAAAGACTATTGCTCAGAGAAGCTCCTTTATGCATTGCAAAAGACAATGTTATTTAGTTCAAAAGCTTCTGAAACAATAATCCCTCTCTACTTTTTTCACCAGTAGTCAATTATAATATAGCTCAAAACCTTGGAAAAGCAAGAATTTTAAAACCATGTTTCTTGCTTTCTGAACACTTCAAATCTACCTGGTAAGACAGCAAGATGAACTAGTCCAGGATAACCTTAAAGTCTAAAAATAAAATCGAACCTGCTCTAACAGCCACCTGTCCAAGACAATCACTTGTACAAACAACTACTTATCATTTCTCCCTTTGGCTTTAAAAAAAAAAAATTATCTGCCGACCAAACTTACACCTCCAGGGGGTCAACAAGGCGTTTTCTTAGTGAGCTCAGGGACTGGAGCCTTGTAGGCTCAAGGGGCCATGGCTCAAAGAGTTAACATATTAACCTACTTAGGCCTCATTTCACAGAAAATGTTCTTCAAACTGAATGAGAAATGAAGAAAAAGCTTCACTAACACTGTGCATCTAAAATGCTGTAACAGTTCCCTCAACATAATTTTCTAAAAAGGAAGAAAGAAAAAAAGAAAAGAAAAGAGGGAGAGCAGAGAAACAGACAGACAGTCAGAGAGAATTACAAGTCGCATTAGGCATTGAGAAAACATTCATTTTTGAATTGCTGACAAAATCTTTTTTTTTCTCAAGTCCTGATTTTGGTGCCGATATTTGTTACAGTTATGTAAAATTATGCCAGCACGGTACAAATTGTTGTGCTTCAAGAAATACAAAACATGAAAAGGGGGAATTGTTTGATAAGTGATGATAGTGGTGATGATGATGATGATGATGATGATGATGATGATGATGATGATTTTTGTTTCCTTAATGGGCCTGACGGACTTCACGAAGAAATCTTCGAGCGAGAGCGAGGCTCTTTTTCGGCTCCATTGTCAATATGCTTAGCGGCACCTCCGCTCGTCCAAAAAACTCCATTCGAATTGCCATTGTTCCTGGACATTCAAACATATGTGATGATGATGATGATGATGATGATGATGATGATGATGATGATGATATCTGACAAAATCTATTCCTTTACACAAATAAAGCATTAACAACCGCAAAATGTACCTCTTCTCTGGCAGCAACTTTGGCTTCCAGTATACGTTTGTACTCTTCCATCTTTGCTTCAACTTGCGCTTTCTCTGTTATAAGTGTCTCATTCAAGGTATCCAGTTGTTTCTGAACATTTTCCAATTCTGCTTTTGTATTATCATGAGCTGCTCTCTCTTGCAGGAGAGCAGCATTTGCTGCATCCATTTCAGATTTATCTACCTGAAGATGAAAAGAATTTTGAAGAAACAAGTATGCTACTTTCATTTTTCAAAAAAGTCAACTTCACTATAATTCGATATTTGAAAACAAATAAGTGGGTCAGTGTGAGCAAGGAAAAGAAGGGGAAACTAAAAAAAGGAAAGCCTCTAAAAACAGAAAAAAATATGTTATTTTGAAAAGTCTGTTTAATACCCGAGAACCAGAAAACCAAGAAGGAAATTTTGAGAACTTTCTGGTTGTTTTGTTTTAGTAGAGTTTTTTTACGTTTTACGGCGCTCGCAACTGCATAAGATTATATGAGTGCCATGAGAACTTTGAATGAAAGTTTTTTCAACTTTGAGTTAAACCCGAATTTCAAATTTAGTCTAAACTATTCACATAAGGAAGATTGAAAAACACACTAGAGTTTTAAACACAGAAAACATCAATTTTATCCCACTGGTGATACATTTAGTTGCGGCACTCACAACATCGTCTGAAGCTGCAGCACCCACAGCCGCCGCGCCACCAAGAGCAGACAACTCTGCCAGCTGACTTCTGAGATCACTGACTTCCTGCTGACTGGCCTCGAGAGCCGTCACCACTTCTGGGTCAGGAACCTTCACCTGCCATGACGGAACTGGGATTGACTCACACACAAGAGAGAATCAAACTGTATGGCATTCAAATACATCATGTCACTTGTTTTTTAAGACCTGCAATTTCTCTGGTAAAAGATTGCGATTCTAAACTTAAACTGATATCAAAGACAATGCTTTACTGATAAATTAAAAACATAAAATTATTCGATACAAAGCAAGTATACTGTTTAAACATTCTACTTTCCTCATGAGTATAAATTCACTTGTCACAGATACGCTTTTGTAGCAGTGCAACAAAAAAAGTCATTTCCAGATACTGAGCAAAACCTTCATTTTGAACAAATCTCTGTGTTTCTGGGTACGTAACTTCAAGAAACTACAACTTATGAATTAAAGCAGCTATATAAATATAGTTTTCAACCACATATAGGGGGCTTGGACTGATCTTTTATGTCATCCTCTTGGCAGTATATTGTCAAAATACATATGACTCATTATGTCATGTTGCTACACCGTACACAATGAAGAACACACAACAAACCTCCACCCCCTCCCCTTCTCTCTCTCTCTCTCTCTCTCTCTCTCTCTCTCTCTCTCTCTCTCTCTACCACTTCTTGCCTTAGTATTCCCCTTTCCCTGACCTTTCCGATTTGTGTTCACCGCACCTTTTAGCATTGTGACCTGAATATATGCACTTTGGTTTCTACAGCTAGTGTAGTCATTTATATTCGGAATGTTCCTGATGAAGCCTTTCGAGAGCGAAACGTAGAACTAGTCATTAAATATTTTGGAAATACTACCAAGTCTTAACCGTTTTACTATCTGCTGTATACCACAAACCTCCACAGTCATGACCTCTGGCTGAGCCACTTCTGCGCCTGTTGTTACACTCTCCGGAGCAGGGGGAACGACGCCAGAGTTCAGTTTTGTCAGGGTTTCTTTTTGCTGTTCTAGCGATGTGACCATAGTTGAAGCCTCCTGATGTTGAATGTACAACTCTTTCACCGAGTCCGGCCTTGATGGAATTTAAAAAATTACGAGTTACAGGAAATATGAATAAAGATTGTCATTGTCATTGTTATTGCCATAAAAGAAATATTGGCTGTTATGATTATGGAAGATGATAACAAAAAGACAACCTTCTAGACTCCTCACAACAATTTGTATCCACTTCAGGTTGTATAACCACATTTTAGGGTCATATGGTACTGACCATATTATCGAGCTGGCTAACAGGTATAGTCTTCCCATCAACAAAGGGGTGCATCTCCTATGCTGAATGGGGTCCCGGTCATACACCACAAGTTTTCTCTGTAGAAAGATGATAGCCTTTAACTGTACTTATTTTGTCTTCTGTCCTGCTCCGTTTTGTGCAAGGCTAGTAGAATAAACTCTCAGAATTTTACAATATAAGGGCAAACCTTTGAAATTACCTATTTGTGTCTTTTTCTTCTTCTTCTTCTCCTTAGGTTATCCAGCAGGTGGATTTAACTTCTTGGACCTCTCTGCAATAAAACTTTATCCATACCGCCTGCCAGAGTTCTTTTGGTTCCAAGCCAAGTTTGTATGTCCTGTTCCCATTTGTGCCTTACACAATGTAAAATTCAAACAAAAACACAAAAACAAAACATAGCTACTACAGTCCCTCGTGCAATTCAGAACTCAACATACTTGTCATCTTCTGTGGGCTCCCTGCCATTTTTCTTTTCAAACTTTGCTTCCCATGCTGAAATTTCCGACTGAAGTCTCTGCTGCTCTTCCTTCATCATGTTCTCGTCCTCAGACGTCTTCGACAGCTGTCACAACAAATGACCATAAATACGTTCAATTATTAAAATATTATTTTACCAGCTAGTCTGCTTCTTCTTTCACCAACAAGTGAAATAAACAGCAAGAGTACTTTTTTTTGGGTACCTTTTCTTTCGTCAGATTATGGATGTATTCTTCTTCCAACAAGAAGTGTGATTAGCAGCTACAGTGAATGTCTTTTTTGTGTATGTTTCTTTTATCAGATTACAGGGGCATATGTATTGAAAAGATTGTAGTACATTGAATGGGCCGGGGTATGCGCGAAGCATGTCATTGTGTAAGCTGTCAAATTTCTTATTTTATTTTATTCTGAAGCAACTAGAAGCACCAAGGAGTGAGCTCTACGGAAGTGATCTTTATTATTAATATTAATACTATTACTATTATTATAATTACTATTAATATGAAATCACAGATCACTCAATATTAACTAATTTCACTGACAGGAAATATTTCCTCAAGCAATGTACTAGCTCATGAAAATGTATAATAAGTGGGTTAGTTTGTTTTCTATGAAAAGAAAAGTACATTGCTCCCTCCCACCTCCCCACCCATAAAAACCTACTGCAGCAGTTATAATATTTGACACAAACAATTTGATTTTTAAAATTCTATATATGAATCTAACCCACCTGTTCTTTCATCTTTGAATCAGGCGCTTCCAGAGCCACCAAAGCAAGTGCTTTGTACTGATTTTCCAAGGCAGCATATCTTTCAGTCAGTTGTGAAGACTGTTGAACTTGTTGCTGCAGGGATTCATTTATTGCTGCAAGCTTTGCATTTTCCTTCACAACAGAAAAAAGACAGAGAAACATTCGAGGCGTAAAAAGAGGTGATTAAAAATTGATTTGAGGCGTAAAAAAAAGTGATAAAAATTGATTTCATATAGCACATATCCACGCTCTACAGCATGCTCCATGACCTTTGCAACAGTTATTCACCTAGCAGAACCTGGAACACAAATCAGAAACATTCTCGGCTTTCAGGGAAGCACACAGTGCAAGCTGCAGATTACACATACTAAAACACTAACAAACTGACAAGATCTTTTGCTGTCTACAGCCTAGTACCCATTCTAACATGGGTGAAATTAGGAAAATTCATGTAAAGTGCCTTTCCCAAGGACACAACTTCAAGCCTCTGATGGGATTCGAACCCACAACATTACGGTTGAGTCTGAGAAGGTAGAGAAGATTGTGTCTGACTTGGTAATGCAAAAATTTCTTAATGAAAGATCTGAATTAAATACACCTTGGCAGTTAAAGTCCAAAGAGAACAGGCATGCTTAAGGCAGCTGCCAAGGCAAAACTCCAGTTTTAATCCCCCATCCAAAATTAAGAAATTCTAGTCTGTGTATAAATGATGAAGATGAACTTCAAAAATTGTAACAGCTTGCCTGATCAGTAAGAGGCCTTATATTTGGGTTGTAAAGAGGCTATCTAGGTGTACATGCAATGATAAGTTGCACACTGGGTTGAAGTTGACAACCCTGGAGGCCTTAACAGGGGTTATTGGAGGAGGAGGAGGAGGAAGAGAGGAAGAGAAGGTGGGGGGTGATAAATTTATGCTATACAATACCTGTGCATGATTGTCTTTCCATATCACTTGCATTAAGGCATAAAAAATCTCTGATCATTAATATCTAATATGCAACATATTAGACCAATAAGTTCTACAATAGACACATGTTGTTGTTGTTTTCAAATCCCTTTAGCTGCGAGCATTTCGCTCTTGGCAGCGCAATGCCTCCCTCAAGTAACCACATGTCCTTGTCATTTGGTCAACGCCAGAGACAATAGACACATAGAAACAATAAAAGATCAGTCCCATTTCCCTGATGATCACATCTGACGGTACAATCTTGAAATAACTACCATCATACTGTAAGAATTTTCACAATGAAACCTTTGGTTAACAATAATGATGAAATAAGACATAAAAAAAAGTTCTGAGACAAGCGAAAAGAAAATTAAAAGAAGCCTACCAGTTTCAACTCTGTGACATCTTCTTGCAGGCGAAGGATTTGCTCTGTCCATTGTCTCCTGGCCTCATCATCTTCTTCACTGCTTCTCCCACCAACTGGCACTGGCACAGCACCTAGAACCGGCACTGCTTTCTCAGTCTGTGGAAACAGTTCAAGTGCACAAACAATAATTGTTTTGCTGAGAGGAAATCTCTTTTTAACACATAAACGTCTGTTAAAATTTGGAGTACAGATCACAGACGTCTTTAGTTTTAGTAGAGGTTTTATGGCGCTCGCAACTGCATAAGGTCATATGAGCGCGACACAGAAGTCTGACTAAAAAGAAGGAGAGGACAGGCATATGTTTTCTTAAACCAGAGCCAAAAGACATGACCATCCAAATACAGATGTGTCAAAACACTTCACGATACTGATATACTAAGATGTTACTGTAATATAGAGCCTACAAGTAAATATAGCACAAAAGCATCCTAGCACAGGTTATCAAGGACCCTATAATAGCATTAAACTACTTGTACCCCCTGTCAGTGAGTAGTGGTTTCATTCATTTCTGCTATTCTGGGGGGAGAGCTATACATACCATCATAGAGCAATGAAAATGCTATGCTCAGGACTAAAACAATACAAGGTTAAACAATAATTCATACAGCTAACAGATCAATTTTAAAATTATCATGGGACAATCATGAAAAATACTACTTCATTTGAGCACCAGATTTGCTGTTTCTGTAGTTGAAGTAAGGCACCTTACTTGACAAAATGTCATTTACTTCAAAGAAAGAGGGCTTGGTCCCAGATATAGACACCAGACTAAGACGAAAAATATTCTGCAAAAGACGAAAAAAATTCTAGCCCAGCTTGGCAACAAACAGGGAACACTCATTTATCGGCAAAATTCATAACCAATTGTGTCACAGAATCTATCTCACAAACAACATAAGTGTTAATTCAATATTTGTAACCACATTTACCATCATTTTCCATCACATACAACACAGGTCATTATTGCCTTGTGGACTCCACCCAGTGGCTGAAATCAATTCAGGTTTCTCCAATAGCAGCTCATTTTTCTTTTGACTAAAGCAAACAAATACAATTCAAACTGTCCAAGAAGGCCACCCTTCCTCGAGAAGAAAAGTGGTTGTCTTAGACAGGTGAACGTCTCAGACATAGCTAGAATAATGTATTTAAAAAATGCAAGGGGGAAATGGGAAGTGGTCATTGGCACAGGTGACTGTCTTAGACAGGTTGCCATTACAGCAGCTTCAACTGTACTCACCTCAACATGCACTGTGCTTTCTTTTGAGCCAGGGCTTGCTTGCAGCTTGGAAATTTCCTCTCTCAGTTCCTAAAAGTAAATGGGAAAATATTACTGAAAAAGTGGAAAATGACATATCTAAATATCTAAATATGTAAAAATATACAAAAGAAAGTAAAGCAATAATTAAAATTGGTTTCTAGTCGACAACCCTTGCACCAGCTTTCTTTCTCAAGACGGTATCATCAAACAAGTTATGAGGTGCCAGGTAACTAGAACATAACACATAAACGATATATAATTTTTGTCACAGATATCTTCTTAACAAAGGAAGCTAACAGGTAGAGGCACAATTGTGCCCTTGAAATCCGCCCAACAACCCAGTACATATATGAATTTACTTTTTCAGATTCTTTACAACTGGGACCTAAGGTGGAGACCACTGTACTCATAAAAGAAAAAAACAGTTTGCTTCTCCATTATTTACGGCTTCAAAAGATTTTTTTTTCTTGACATCTCAAAATGCTGCATCCAAGGGTATAAATTGGCAATCATGCAGTCTTCAGGCAATAACTTGAACTACCCTCTCCTTCTTTTTTAACTAACAAACAAACCTTATTCTCTGTTTGCAGCTTTGCATATTCAGCAGCACCTGAAATTCAAAACAAAGTTTTTAAGTTTTTAATTCAATTCTTAAATCCCTTCCTAGTCTTCCTGGATACCAATACTTTTTCTTTTATTGCAAAATCAGATTATACAAAAGTATTAATCCATAACAAAAGAGACACATGAAATATTCTCATAAAAAATAAATGACTCCTCTTTATGGTATAAGACTTTAGATATCTATTAAGAAATTAGTCCAAACCAGATCAGAGGAGTAAATTTCAAAGTGACAGAAAAATAAACAAAAGTCTGCTTTGATGACTAAACTACACATTAATTCACAGCAAGATAAAAGAAGAGTGTAGACAAGAAAAGAAGTTAATTCTTTCAAAATGCGAATAGCAGCCAATTTAACAAAAGAGTCATTTTCATATTTATGAAAATTTTACTCACAGATATACTCATTTTTATTTAATCTCTTTATTTTTACTTAACTCTTTTTATCCTAGCCGTACCGCCACGGACTCTGTACCAGTCCTGGGGCCGCCGCGCCGTATGAGTGGGAAGTCAGTGCGTATAGTTCAAAGTGCTATATTTCTTTCGTTTACTCTAAGGTTTTAAGGAAATTTGGCAGTTATGTTAGAAATTGAATGTAGTTTTTGGAAATGTATGTGGTTAGGAAATACACCAATAGCACAATGTAGATTTTGAGGTGTATTCCACCCTCGAACTTGACCCTGATTGCCGCACCCACGACGTCCCATTGGATTTTATAAAAACTAGATCTAGATCTAGATCTAGCCCTACCCATCGAGCACGAATTCCAGCTGACCCCTTCACCATGATCTGAATCGCTATTAGATGAGTCTAAGTCCTGTTTCTTATCATCAACAACGGAATTTACGGCTCTTATTTCAGAGTCACTTTCATCAACTTAGTATCATTCCCCCTCACAACCAAGCGCCACTTCAAAAAGAACTTCGTCGGTCGTGAATGTGCGTTTTCGAGACATCTTTCAAGCCTCTATACCCATCAAAAACAAAGAAACTACTGTTCATTGGAAAATTAAAATATTCAGACAGAGCTAGCATCGCCGTATTTGCGTATTTTGGTAATTACAAGTAGAACTAGCTTCTTTGACGTGACCGTATCGCTGTTCCGAGAATACTCGTAGCCCGGACTGGTCCTCGTTACGAGTATACTCGTAGCCCGGATAAAAAGAGTTAAGGGAACACCATCATTCTCCATGCTAAAATAATAAACATCACAGTATTCAGACAGCATCTTCCCATAATTTGAAACTTATTAGGAGTCATCGATTCTTCGGACCACACTTTCTTAGAGAAAACAACAGAAATTCATATCTGCCTGCTGCAAGAACACTCAAAACCCCATCATCCTTAACTAAATTGACCCATCATAATGTTTTCATGTCATTAATTACATCAAAAAGTCGATTATAAAATACTAAATTAATTTACAGTCTTGCAATCCCTTCAACCAAAGGATCGTATTGTTTCATATAATAAAATTATATCAGTTTTTAACCTTTCAACCCCTGCAAAGACATTCAACATAGCTGCATGATAATAAATGCAAATATTTACTTAGTTCTGTGCCTGCAGGCCATCAAGTACCCACTGACACTACAGCTGTATGAACAGAAGAACATGTCAGACCTTTCACAAAAGAACATCTTTTCCCACTAAACGTGTCTTTAACCCAAGGTCTAACAATTCCACTTTGACATGTTACCCACAAGACTAAAAAATCCCCAAACTTACCCACACCTCCAGCCAGAGCAGTCACCTGAGCAGCTAAGGCTACCTGTAGAGAAAAGAAAAGTAAACCTTGAGAGCAAATACCAAGTTTCTAAAAATTATAAGAAAGCAACAAAAAGTAATCAAAACCTAAGAGAAAAAGAAATTGTGAGGCAGCGTGGTGGAATCAGGTTCTCGTCAAAATAATCAAAGTGAAGAAACTTGCATTTTTCCGCAAGTTTATAAATTGTTATCAAATTTTTGTTTTTTGACTCAACAACTTTCATGCCTATAAAAGAACTCATTTCTGTTGAAATCTTTCTGAAAAACGTTGATTGAAGGCACAAAAAATGTAAATTTTCAGTTACCATGGACTCTTAAGCTAAGGAAATAACTAATCTTTAGCGGCCATTTTCTCTCTAATGTCACCTCTGAAAACAGGTGACCTCCACCACCTTCTTTCGCAAATATCTCGACTTTTATTCAAGATAAATGGATATGTTTTTCATCAAAATAAAGACAATTGAAAAGCTTTAAGATGATACCAATAACTCTGCATGCCCAAAAATTGATGAGAGCCTGATTCCACCACGCTGCCTCACAATTACATTAATTTATGTCAGCAATTAAATCATTTTAGAAAGATAGCGAATACAGTAGTCTCCAGCTAATAGTAATAGCATACCAGATTTTTAAAAAGCATAACCCACCTTAAAGTACACTGGCAGTGCAAAACTAAAATTTTCCTGTAGGATTATTACTTGTAGGCAAACATTCCAAATCAACAATTCCGTTTGATAGCAAGATTACTCCTGCACTTGTGTCAGAGACAGGTCAGCCATGAAAGCAAAGCAAACACCACATGCCCTCCTTTATTCCTTGAAGTTGCCACATTGCCATGGAAAAATGACATGAATTAGGACAAGGTGTGAAACAGAATTGCACAATAAGGAAAGCCAAGGACTGGCCATGCGGGGAGGGTGGACACAATGTGAGAGGGCTATGCCGTAATTATGACCGTCGTTGTCTGTGATCGCTCAGCATTGGAAAACTTCACACTTTGAGATGAGCTCAGCTCAATGATGCAGTCTGCAGCAGGAGACCAGATGCAAGAAGATTCAAATCATCAATTTTTAAACTTTTTTTAGTAGAGGTTTTTACAGCGCTCGCAATTGCATAAGGTCATATGAGCGCCAGAAGATTAGAGGCGTTAAGTCACAAGAGAGTAACAAACATAAAAAAGAAGAAGGGGAGATAAGCATGATAGATGTTTGATAGGAAAGAAGGAGCAAACCACACCAGAGCACCCGCCAACCACCTACAATCAATCAATGAAATTAGACAGAAAACTTACTCTTTAGTTTTAGTAAGAGTTTCATGGCACTTGCAACACAATAAGGTTATGTAAGTGCCGAAGATTAGAGGTGTTACAAGAGAGTAACAAACACAAAAAAGAAGGAGGAGAGATCAGGATGATAGATGTTTGACAGGAAAGAAGGAGCAAACCACACTAGAGCACCCACCAACCACCCACATACTTACTCTCTATTACTCCTCTTAGATATTCACTTAATAGCATGTTCGCACAAAAGCACTTTTCTTACCAATCTTTATTATCTCAGTCTTTCTGTAGACACTCTGTATCCCTCTGACAGGCAGGGTCCACACCCACCTCCCAAATGATCTGGATTGTGTCATTGGGCACACAAACATTTACATTTGAATTTGATTTTTTTTCGTCTCCCAAGGTGCATACTATTAGCCAGAGACCACTGTACTACATTTCAGAAGACAATGTAATGATTTTCAGCTCTCCACTAATTAATCTGCAAACAACTTCTTCAGCTCATGGAATACTTCAGATTAGCCAAAGAATTGTTACACAATACTATTCAAGTTCATATCCAAAATATAACTTTCACCAGGTCTTCTTAACAGAACTCTACCTTCTCTGCATCAATCTTTTCAACTTCCTCCTTTGACATGAATAAAGCCTCATTCTTCTCCTGCAGAAGTTTGGTGTTCTTTTCATTCAAGCTCTGCATAAAGAGAAAGAAACAAAGCTATTATCAGTATGAGGGTGACCTTACATTTTCAAAAGTGCTGTTGACTCTTTGCTGACAACATCCAACATCAATCCTCATCATAAAACATCAACCAACATTGTTCCATGAAAAGTCTTAGAGGATAAGAAATACTTCAGTAATGGACTGACTTTTTTTTTTTAAACCCTAAAAAAGGTGGAGATGCAATATTGAAATAATTAAACAAAAAAGAGGAATGAACAAGAACTTGCTGAGAAATTAATATATTACAAAAATCTACTTTCACTTTTTGCTGCTATTCAGGCATGTTTCTAATCATGCCACTGATTCACTGATAGAGAATAAACATTCTTCCACAAGTTAAACTTTAACTTAAATTAAGAAAAAGAAACTTTATAAGACCAACCATGAAGAAAACTATTGGTAAACTTACCGCCACTTCCTCATTCCATTTCAACTCTTTTGCTTGCGTTTCTTGCCTAAACTGCTCAAGAGTATTCCTGAAGGTGTTCATCTTCCCTGAAAACTTCTCTCTGTACTGTACAACGAAGGCCATAAACTGTGTCTGCGAGATGGAAACAATTGTATTATTATATTAATAAAGTGCAAAATTATACTTATTACTTTCAAAACCGATACTCTTTGATAATAAACACAAGATAAAGGTACAGAACAAGCATTACATGAATAAACAAAACGGTACAACAAACCAACAATATCATTTTCCAGTGAAAAGTAAGTAACTCAGTATGGTTGCCATCCATCCTTTTCTCAACTCCGTCAAAATGTCTATCTGTTTGTCTACTTGACAGAAAGCCTCTCTCTCTCTCTCTCTCTCTCTCTCTCTCTCTCTCTCTCTCTCTCTCTCTCTCTCTCTCCCCCTCTCTCTCTCTCTCTCTCTCTCCCTCTCTCTTTCTCTCTCTCTCTTTCTCTCTCTCTCTTTCTCTCAAGACCCCAGAAACAAGATATAAAACCTACTTGTGACTCTCCCTCGAGAGATCTGTAATGAGCCTCAATGTCATGCACAATACGGATGTGGTTATGCTTCATGGCCTTCATGTCATCCGTGATTTGCACAATGCAATTTCTAGCGTAGAGGTATGGAATGTACGCATTCTGTTCAGCAGTTGTTGGTCGAATGCTCGTAACATCTAGAAAAAACAAAAATGAAAAAAGCATTAAATAATTAAATGCATATTATGCATCAAATAAGCATTGCATCTTTAATCAAATATAATCTATCTTTAAATTGGCTCTTTTCTGAATCGATAACAACAAGTCAGCTCTTTTCGTTAAATACTAAGGGGGAAGAAAAGGAACACTAAATTTTAGACCAAAATATACAAAAATACATTTCTGAAAAGCAATAAGCTTTATTGTAACACATTGTAATCTGCAAGATTTTCAAATAAATAAACAAGCAACACCCCTATATTTTGCATACAACACACATCTGAAATATTTTTATACACGAAAGTGACAACTACTGAAAGTGAAAGAGAGTTTCCACTTTCCTTCCACTTGTTACTATTAAAAAAGTAAGGATACTCTGTAACACCTCGAATAAAAATATTTCACAGTACATCTATTGTACCCTTACTAGACAAAAAATACATCATTTTTGTTGTAGACTTAAGAATTTTTTTTACCAAAAAAAGGTAAAGTCATTGTCCAAAGGATCCATTGTTGGGCTGTAATTTACGGTAAGTAAACATCATAAGGGCATTTATAGCAGTCTCAGAACCTATAAATACTTAAGAAAAACTTTCAGCCTTTCATTCATTTCACAAACTTTTAAAAATGTTCCAAAGAGACATACATTTTAGAGAATCAAACACTCGCAAACTACATTACCTGTTGATGATGGCTTTCTTGATTGAGATTTCTTATCCACCTTGTTCGACAAAAGAGACCTTCTGCTTGAAGATGAACCTTTGAAAACACACACATGAAACATAAAATTCAGACATAAAAACAGATTTTGACTATAATATGCTGAAACTCAGTATTGAATTTAAGATAGAAAACGACTTTCATTTTAGTGATTTAGGTATTCAATTCAGAAATTAAGCATTATTCTACACACAGAAACATGCACTAATTCTCCATTATTGAAAGCATACAAACTTTTGAACAAAATGGAACAACTATTTAAAGTGGTAAATAAAAAGGACTTAAACTTATGCACAGAAAAAAGATCGTCGGTATTTTTTTAAATTTATGCATGTACCAACTTTGATTTTAAATGACATAATCACTGTTGATGTAATAACACATTAAAAGAACTGAAATTTACCTGGTCTTTTTTTATCCTCTTCATTGTCAGTCCATGCCTCTGAGAAATGACAAGACAATCATTTTAAATAGTATGTTTACGAAAAATGTCAGAAGCCCATCAAATTTTGCGTTAGATAAAAATATATCTCTGGTAGCAGAATTCCAGAAAAAGAGAGAGTCCAATAAATCATTGAGATATTTTCTTGCTGTAACATGAAAAAGGAGCCCTACTCCCTGCTCCGGCGTATTTTTGATGCTATTGAAGAAAAGTTTGTGGCTTTCCCGGGTTTCTCCATCCAGAACACTCCACACCCCCAAAAATGTTACAGCAGTATCTGTCCATTACTCACATCAGTGCCTTCATTGAAAGACAGAACGAGCAAAATCAAAATAAGAGATACTGGAGGTAAGTGGACAAGAAAGGAATGGGTCATGAGTCTTCAAAAGACATTGACTCTGTACCTCTAAGAGACTAAACTAATCTTTCTAGAATACCGAAGCAAAATCAAATCAAGAAACAAAAAGTTTCTCACAATTTTCATTAGAACCCCAACATAAGTATTCCATTTTTTTTAAAGTCGCAATAAAGGTATGCATAAGATGAACACATAAGAAAACATTTATAGCGAAAAATCAAACATATGAATCCATTTTACTCACACTTTAATTGTTACACATTCCTTTTGTGGAAGAAAACTTGTGCTTTGTGATATCTCTGAACAATAATAAGGTCTTCCTATCTGATGATCACGCAGAGGATAAGCAAGTATCACTGTGACATGCTTTGAGTGCATGTTAATAAACAAAGCATATTAATTTTACCTTTCACAGAGGCTGCAGACTGAAGGGACACAAGACTGCCGGGGTTTGACATGTCTTTGGATCCTGAAGCAATCGGTTCCACTTTGTTCTGCGTGAAAGGTACGGGACTTCTACGTCTTTTGCCATACTTGGGGGAAGCCACAGAATCAAGTGTTTTGTTAGAAGACTTTTCCTCAAAAGGAGGGGGACTGGGAGTCTCAGATCGAACCTTTTCTCTGCCAGAATCCTTCTTGTTCTCCTCCGCTACATTCTCGGGACTTTCTTCAACTTTCTGACCTTCCTCATCATTGACAGGCTGAAAGATATTAAAAAATTAATAAGAGAAAAAAATTCCTTTTTTCAATAAAAGCAAACGTTTTTTCACTTCTTAATTATGTAATTTGTCCACAAATTACTTTACATGAACTAAATACATACTTACAATGCCTATATTATATGTACTCAGACACAAAGGTGAATTGTTAACAAACACGAAGCAGGATATAAAGTTATTTGTCTTCTGTACTTTGCGTTTCCAAGGATGATACACAATTTATTTTTACAACAACTCCCTACATGAAATACAACTGCAACTTTAAAGAGTATGACACTACAAAGTCACAAACAATGTGCAATCCAAACCTTTTCAGCAACTTCAATGAGTGTCCGTTTTCCAACTGATCCTGTTTCTGATTTGTCATCCTGATCTGAAATAAAATTACAGTCTAGTCTCAGGAAAAGTAGAAATACTTCACCATCTGCTATACAAAACATAACTTGAAACCCACTGCCGGGTACCCTAAAATTTTGCAAGCAGATTATCAAAACCAATATGTTTCCAACAAAACAATAAACAAATAAATGTAGATCGTAAGACATTGAGATGTATAGACCGATATCATTTACCTTTTCAATAACACCTGAGGATCTATAGGCCTAGACCTAAATATGAAAGACTAGACTAAACAAAACAACATTGTACATCATGTGTCTACCTACACACACAATACGAGGCAAAGGCTGTTCCTTAATTCCGTATTACCCTGGGACCTGCCCTGTATTACCCTGGGACCCGACCCCCCCCCTCGCCCCAACAACCCATTAATGCCCATGCTTAAAGCAGTAGAAGTAAGGACAGTGCACACTAGAAGGCTACTACGTCCACGGGAGATTATTTTCTTTTGGGGTAAGTGTTTTAAGGCACTCACAACTGCATATAGGTCATATGGGCGTGCATGAAATTAAGCATTTTTCAATTTCAAGAACTAATTTTGAATTTCGCCTGGGCGGCGGCTGAAGCTTACTTTGATCAATTTCAAGACCACCAAGGGATCTTTAATGCGCACAACTTGCTCTGAGATTTTTTAGTCCGCATCCGAGAAGGTGTTTGATCTTACCTACCATAGAACATGGGAGTGGTAGAAAGAATCTAGGAGCAAGGGGTAGCAGTAGAAAGAGTCAGGAGCCCAGACAGGGGGGGAGGGGAAGGAGGGGGGGGGCAGAAAGTGAAGATGAAAGCATATAACAGAATAGGATTAGAGGGCAGGAAAGGAGGTGAAAGGAGAAGATTTTAGAGAGGAAAATATTCCGTCACTATCAGGTTTCAAACAGAGGACCTATTGAATGATAGGTGAACATCATACCACCTCTAGACCACGAGAAAGCCCTACAGACAGGAGATTGAAGAAATATTTAGCCATTGTTCAAGAAGAATGTAAACAAAAATATGGACAAAATTTTTTTAATCCTGGAAGCGCACAGGCCCTATATTAAGGCGCGAGCCGGGCTACCCATGAAGCATGCAGGGCAGGCCCCTATAGGGCTGATCTACTTCGACTGGTAGAGCACAGGCCCTATATAAAGGAAATGGAAAATTTCAGTATTCAAAGGAAAATGATGTAGTAAATTACAGGTTAAAGTTATAAATAGTGACAAATGACTTTGCAAGTTATCTTGACCTTGTAGATCGTGTCTTGGCCCAGATATCGATCGATTGAGGGACAAGGTCCAGCTATGACTTACACGCTATGTATGTGTAATCACTTGTTCTGCTGTGCTTAAGTACTAATAGTAGAGTTCATCGCGTTTTGGGCTTTGATTCCATTTATTTGATTGCAAATTTATCATTTTTGAATGGCTCATTCTATCAGCTGTAAGAAAAGATATGGTTTTAAATGCTTTTTATCATCTGTTGAGCTGTAAATGGTCATTTTTTCAGTAGCAGGTATACATCTCCAGAATTTCAGCAGATATCCCCCCACAAAACCCCTATGTTTACAATCCATCAGCCATGGTGGCAGCCGGGTGAAACACTGAGCGCTTCTTGGGTTGCTTTCCAAAAAGAAATTCATTCTTGAATTAAATATTTTACAAAATAACAACGACTGCAGCTTACCTTCACTTTTATCTGAAGCTTTAGCAACAGGTGGATTCCCTTTCTTCTTTTTGATTTTGTCTTTTGTTGCCATTTCTGGGAGTATGACTGAGGTGAAGATTTTAAGACAGACAAGAAAATATAGATTAGTTTTATATATTTATATTTATAAAGGCCTATCAATCATTCAATTAAAACCTAAGAATAATAAGTAATTTGATTTCTTGTTTTGAAAGTAAAAGCAGTCCTCTGGACCAACCATTGATATAGCCTACTATAATACTATGATACTACTACGCCTTTTTTAGCCGGGCCTAGATCTAGATCTAGATCTTGATCTTTAAAAATGAAACAGTAAATTACTGAGTAAACAGATTGGTCTGGATAAGAAGGAAAATATCAAATAGAAGAAGCCCTTCAACCATGTATCGAACGAGTCGTTCAAACTGAGTTAAATAAGTAACTGGGTTATACATGCATCTATCGAGGCATCATTCAAAGCTATTTAATAATCAACAGAGCTTTGAGACTTTCTTTGAGCACTGACAGTCACAGATGGAGTTCACAGAAACTAAGGACGCGTCGCCATTTTGATCAGCTGAAGTTGAAGGCAATCATCATCCTAGACTTATCTGCATAAAAATAAATTTGTTCAGGTTGTTGATTTCTACCCTATTTCCTGAGAGCAAAATCTTACAGGTTTTTGGTAACTAAAACTAAACCTAAAATTAACCCCAAAAATTTCTTACAATGACAATACCACGATCACCGCATCAATAAACCCAAAATAAAAACACGGAAATAGAGGTAGGCTAGAGCGTCGTGATCAACGACTTGGCGCATGCGCGCACGGGATGAAAATAGTAAACTGTAAACCTGGATTGGATCGGCGAAAACTGTTGACGCTTCCCAACTCAAGGCTAGATCTAGATCTAGACCTAATTGAAAAATTCCCAATTAATCAGAATTGAAATTTTAATGTGTCTGAAAGCATTTTCTAAAATTCAACAGTGGAATGCGGATGCACGCATACATAATTTGCAGTTTTTCTGAGAGAACCGTTTCCTTTCTCTCTCTCTCTCTCTCTCTCTCTCTCTCTCTCTCTCTCTCTCTCTCTCTCACTCTCTCTCTCTCTGTCTTTACCGTTCTGAAGCACAAAGTCCCATTTAGTATATTATATTATAAACTCTTTTTGGCTAATAGGATACATTCGGCTAAGACCTTCAAAATATTGGTTCCGAAAGGACTACGTTATACTACCTAGGTTTTACTGAATTAGAAGTTAGAAGAGCGGTAAACCAAACCAACATCAAATTACAAAATCACTTTTTTTTCCTTCGATTTGAGCAACCTTTCTAAACTGAAAACTTGGCTAAGCTGAAGAAAAATCTGACTGTCTCGCAGATTTCAAATTTCGGTTTAATAAAAACGGACTCCACTGTGTCCCTGGCCGTCTTAGAAAACCTAGGCTTAAACACATTATGAACGCCCTAGGCACCCGAATCTTTTTTTTACTAAAGTAGAACACTACTGTTATGAAGAACCGCTTCCTTATATGAGAGGCCTGAAGCGTCCAGCTGCCCCCGTCGTCAAATATTACCTGGGACCAATTAGAGAGAAAGAAGTAGATGAGTTCGTAAAAAAAGCAAGAGCAAAAAGTGCACCTGGAGGAGATGGCGTGTCTTATAAGGTGTTCAAGTATTGCGACACGCTGAGACACACCCTCTTTGAGATGCTAAGAGGCCTTTGGAAAGACAAAGAAATCGTCAAAGATTGGTGCAGAGCGGAGGGCGTGTATCTACCCAAAGAACAGAATGCAAAGGAGATAGGACAGTTCAGACCTATTTCAATCATCAACGTGACGTGCAGGATCTTTATGGGAATACTTGCAAAGAGGACTGTAGCATATTTGCAAAGTAACGGCTATGTGGATGAAACGGTACAGAAAGCCGGGGTACCAGGGATCCCAGGCTGCATCGAGCATGCTTTCACCATTTGGGACACAATCCAAGAGGCCAAGAAAAACAAGGAAAGTTTAAACGTAGTGTGGTTGGATCTGGCGAATGCCTACGGGTCTGTTCCCCATAAATTGCTGATGAAGGCAATGGATTTTTTCTACGTCCCACAAGAGGTGCAAAACATTATGAGAGAATACTATAGTAACTTCCAGATGCGATTCTCAACCGCAAATTTCACAACGGAATGGCACCGACTAGAGATTGGGATTGCAGCTGGCTGCTCTATATCGGTCATCTGGTTCATCCTGGTAATGGAGATGCTACTGAGATCTGCAAAATGCTGTGAAGAAGAAGCAAAGGTGAGATCACCAAAGAAAGCCTTTATGGATGATGTGACCCTACTGACAAGAGATGGAGACACAATGCAAAGTGTGTTGAATCGGCTCGATAAGCTTATCACCTGGGCCAGGATGAAGTTTAAAGCTAAAAAGTCTAGAAGCCTGACTATTAACAAAGGAAAACAGAAGCAACTGAAGTTCACAATTGCAGGGGAGCAAATGCCCACAGTAAAAGAACAACCCGTGAAGAGTTTGGGTCGGTGGTACTCAGGAACTCTGTCTGATAGGAGTCAAGGCGTGGAAATCATGAAGCAGGCTGAAAATGGGCTGAAAGCAATTGACCAGACAAAGCTTCCAGGAAAGCACAAGATATGGTGTCTACAGTTTGCCCTCTACCCTCGATTGGCGTGGCCACTGACAATGTATGAAGTTGCTTTGTCAAGAGTTGAGATGATCGAAAGAAAGTGTAACAGCTACATCAGGAAGTGGCTGGGGCTACCCCGTACCATTAACACGTCATCCCTATACAGACATAGAGGTGCGCTTCAACTACCTCTCACGTCAATTGTGGAGATCTACAAAGCAGGCAAGATTAGAACCGTTTTGATGTTGAGAGAATCAAGGGATAAGGAGATCAGTGGAAAACCTCCAGATGTCAAAACAGCCAGAAAGTGGAAGGCAGAAGTTGCAGCTAACGAGATCATCTCTGCATTGGAGCATGGGGACATTGTCGGTCCAGCGCAACCTGACAGATTAGGGCTAGGTAATGGCGACTTTAGACCTTTCAGGAAAATGTCTCAGCGAGACAGAAGAAAAGCTGCAACAAGACATATGCAAAAGATGGAGGCAGAGAGGCGAGAAATTCATCTCATCCAGTGTAGCCAGCAAGGACAAATGACCAGATGGGAAGAGCATGTAGTGGAAAGAAAAGTCGGGTGGAGTGACATCTGGAAGTGGAATACATCAAGGCTGAGCTTTCTTCTCCGGTCTACGTATGATGTTCTGCCTTCACCGGTGAACCTTGTCAGATGGAAGGTACAGGAGGACAACAAGTGTAGATGCGGTAAGCTAGGAACCATGAAGCATATTTTGTCAAACTGCAACCTAGCTCTTAACAGATACACCTGGAGACACAACGAGGTGTTGAAAGTGCTCACGAAAATGGCGACACAACAGGTGGAAGAAGGAAAATATGCCCCCAAGATACAGAAGCATGGACCCACCAAGATTGCGTTCGTTCCGCAAGGAAGCAAGGTTGCCAAAAGAAAGAAAGTGAACGAAGCCATGAAAGACCAGAGCGGAGGCACATGGGAAGTAGCTGCTGACTTAAAAGGCTTTGAGAGATTCTTCCCCATTCCAACTACGAAAAAGCCAGACATTGTGTTATGGGAGGAAAAAGACAAAGAGGTACACTTGGTAGAGCTCACGGTGCCCCACGAGGACAATATCTATGCCGCTCATGAGCGGAAAGAAAACCGTTACGAGGCACTCGTCGAACAATGTGAGGAGGCAGGATGGAAGGCAACCCATTTTCCGGTAGAGGTAGGATGCAGAGGTTTTGTAGCAACAAGCGCCCGTAAGTGGATGAGAGTGGCAGGACTTACTGCAAAGAAAAGCAACGAACTCACAAACTCCCTTCAGGAGACAGCAGAGAAAGCCAGTCATTGGATCTGGTTGAAGCGAGAGGACTCAAGCTGGAATGAATCCTAAAGTTGGCAGCAGAGGAAAACAGTCGAACTAACATGGAGACCTCACATCGGTGAGGGGGCTCGGTGCGTCAGAAAAGCTGTAGAGAGGAAGAGCCCGAAACAGCGACGCATTCTCTCCTGATGATCTCCATGCTAGAGTCCGGGATACGGAGCGTTCGACGGTGAGCAGTGCATACGGCTGTTTAGACTACGCACATGAAGTGTTCCTATAAGCTATAGGTATCAGAAGTTATTAACTAGCAAAACCAGTGAAAGAACGTTGAGTGTCTAAAATTAGGGGCAATTAAGCTGTTTGTCAAGGTCATGGGAGAGCAATATATATAATTATTACCGGTATAGTACTTTCAGTTGCCTCAATTTCACCATTTGCACTTGGGGTGTCACATTTCGTCTAAACGTGAAGTTCACCCCCATACGGTAGCCTAGGCAGGTTCTCAGGCCTTAGAAAACAAAGACCAAACACAGCATAATACACTTTCTCTAGTCTTTCATTACTTGCCACACTCAATATTTCTTTTAAAGAGGTACTAATTCTTGTCTTCAATGACAAAAGTCCTTCATTGCTACCAAGGAGGTTATAAAAAATATAATTATTTTAAAGTCCTAGACTGCTACTCGAGAAAAGTATTCTAAGGTAATACTTAAGGGAGTCAGCATAACAATAACACACTGGCCTTTCCACTGAAAGGCGGTGGGTTCGATTCCTATCTTGGCTATCCTATGCTGCATCCTTCGTTGACCAAAATGACCAAAATATGTAGTATAGCAAAGATTGTGCATGCATTATAATTGTTTTTACTAAAGTACATGATTGAGAAGTTAAGGGGTTGGGGTTTGTTTTTGTTTTTTTTAATGTTTTTTGTTGGGTTTCTTTTTTTGGGGGGGAGGGGCAAAAACATAACAATCTGCAGTCACATAAAACAAACAAAACAACCACTATATAAGGTGCTTTGGTTTTATTTGTAGCATAAGGCAAATAATGAAGTTTACAGAATGTAAAAAAATAATGCAGTGGTACATAAAATGAAACTGCCGCAGTAGCATTGAAAGCACCCAATATTTATATATAAATGCACATTTGTAGAATGATGGTGAGGACAGATATGAAAGACAAAGATCCAAAAGATGTATGGGTGTCTGGGATGTCATCAGATGAGTTAAGACAGATGTTTCTAATGCTTAGAGGTATATCAGATATTTTCCAATACAAGAGTTGTGACTGCACTGAAGGCTAAGAGCCAAGTATGCATCATGTCTTAAGTGTTATCATCACTGTCATTTTTCCCTCATTTCCTCCCCCCCTCACTGCCCCCCAATTAAAAAAATTCAAAAGTGTATGACAAACCCTCAAGTTTCCATTTTTACAAGTACAACCAGCAATGACAGTGATTTCCAAATTAAGAAGACAAAAACATTAAGTAATTTGTGACTTTTTCTCCCAAAGCATGATAAGCAAGTCTGGCTCTTAGTCAACAATTTGCTGGCTTTATACCTTAAAGTAAATCAGGGGCATTTCAATCAAAACAAAGTGCTCACTTTGAATGTGCTAGAAAAAAAATCAGACACAAAATTCCAAAAGCCAAATTGGTCCTTGAACAGTCTTCAAAGCAAACAGGAAGAAGAAAGAGAAATTTCTAAATACAAAACAAAAAAATGCAGCCCTGAGAAAATCTGGCCAAAAGGAAAGCCCCCAACTTTAAACCATTAAAAGCTGCAGGGATTTGTTTTCAAAAGAGCAATAGTAGCATCCTGCACAACAAAGTTTATATATATTGTTAATGAAGGGCTTACTGTCTAATTAATAATGTCTATGTATCCATTGGTCTTTCCCTGTACCAATCTAAAGATTGTTGTTAGATACTGGTAAGATAACAAAGCAAAAAGAAGATGAAAAAACTACATGGACAGATATTACTAATGACACAAATGCTCCAACTCAGGGACGGTGCCGGGGCAGATAAATCCAGTCACCGGACCCGGTGGGTGGGGGTCAAGATTTCTCCTTCCGAGTAAAAGGCACAAATAATGTGAAAGTATTTGTGGAGGGAAAGAGATAAACGAATAAAAGTAGTATATATCTCCATACATAATGTTTCGATAAATATTCATTCATTTTAATGTCATAAAATATATATAATTTGGAAAGATTTCACTACAATGTAAAGAACTAAGGGTACAGCAGGGTTTAGATTTAGAAGCAGCCATACAAAAATGAAAAATCATCACTATCACTTTGATTCACAACCATCTAGCTACAGGGTGACGGAAAATAAACAAAGTATGAAATGTGAAACTGAAAATAAAATTAATAACAAAAGATTTGGAATGATATAGCTATCTAGCAACAAGCAAAAACACAAAGATGGCTAATAAAAAAAAAGGGGAAGACGCATGTTACAAAAGCATTTTTCACACACACAAAAATACATTTGGGTTTCATTATGCAAGGGAATGGTGATTTACACATATTAGTGCTGCTTATGTTAAAGTACACAAAATTAACAACATTCACGTCACAGCACACCTTAGAGGGAAATAAATACATGCTCGATATAATTATATATATATATATATAGGTATCCTTTTTACGACAAAAAGGAACATATAGCTGAGGAAGAGGTCAGAACAAACCATTGTAAAGGTCAATTATGTTATAGCAGAAATAATTTCGGGGAGAGAAGCTGACATACTTCAGGCAGTGTCTACTGCAAAGTACACAGACAGTCAGTTTTTATTTCCCCCTCACACATGTCAGTATAAAAATATCAAAATCAACTTTGCATAAAATTTGATTGTGAATCTTTAAAATATTATCCAGAAAGTTAAACTGACAAACGTGCAAGACGCTTTTTTTTAAAGAAAAGGCTGTCAATAAGTAAACTTGTAAACTGACACCACAGTTCAGGTATTCTCCTGACAGCATCATGACAAACTATGTACTAAAAAATCTGTAGCATTTCTAGGCAAAAAATTCACGAGCATCAATTTCCTTAATGTTCTAGATATATTCTCGTAAACTAAAAGAGGTAGACAAAAAAAATAATAATAATAATCTCAGAACTGAGAAGACCATTATATTCTAATTTGTAAAATGAGCAAAAATAACTATATTTTAAAACCCATACAAGAACAACTCAATTCTACAAACAGATGGCAATTTCCCTAAACGACACAATAACACTACTACAAGTGCAGAAAACTAAAATCACATAGATCTAACTACAGAATCTTCACACATACACAAGCATACGCACATATGCCCACACGCAAGCATGCAAATCCACACAGTCAAAAAGACTATGAAAACACACATATTGCCACTGTCACTGACACCCCCCCCCCCAAAGCACTGTAGCTCCAATGTTCTTCGATCACCATGCAGAAACAGGGTCAAACAGAGTTACCCCTTTTTCTAGCAACAATGACAATATACAGAGTTTTCTCTTTTCCACTCTCTCTACCAGTTTCTCACAACAGAACTACCACACTACACAGAAAGCCAGCAACAATAAGCCATTAAGCTATGTACATTGTGGAGAAGAGATCTCATGATCACACCCACTGCAAAGCAGAAGCGACGCAGCGAATACTCAATATATATTTAGACGTAAATGTACAGAATCTGGATAGATCATAATCAAACTAGATGTAAGAAGGGAACCCAAAGCACTTTCAAAGGAATTAGAAGAATGGAACAAATAGTGGAAAATGTGACATGTCCCCACCAATAGAAATCTAGACCAATTAAGTGACAGCAGTAATACAAACTTTTCAATACTCTGATCAGCTTTTCAACTGTGTCTTTTCCAGTTCTAAAAAACAAAATAGTAAGATAAATCTACATAAAAACAAACCATTCACATCTAAAACGAAACGAATTTTTAATGTACTTCCACTAGAACTTTAAGAATAAACTGTAAACTGCAACACTGTCTGTCTCCAGTACCTAAGAAATTAAAAAGTTGGGTTCCCTTCAGACATGCCTCAGTAAGTTTTATATTCCTTACAACATTCACATTTATTTACATTAAACTCTTTATAATTCTCTGTACTGCACCAGGAACACAACTTTAAAAAAAAAAAATTTAAACATGGAAAATACGGACTCATACAAACATTTACTTGTACTATTACAATTTTTGTCATTCAGCGAACAGCACACTATGATTATATCAGCTGTGTTTGCAAAGTTTGAGGAAGCCATTACAAATGAGCAAGTCTTGACAGATTCATACAAAAGAAAATAATTAAGAAAGTACAGTAAATGTACAGAGAAACAGAGAGCAGGTTAACATTAGTCTACAACTAGCAGCACTTTTGTTGAAAACGAAAATGAGCGCGCTCAAATGACTTTAAGCAGTTGCAAGCACTGTAAAACTCTTACTAAACTAAAATGAATATTGTTCAAATGTTGGTCCAATTTATTATTAATGGTCAAGATAAACTTATCAGTCAACACTACTGTACCTTTTTCCAGTAATGTAAATCATAGAGAGCTTTCATCAAATGCTATCATGTCAATAAACAAAAAAAAATGTTCTTTAAGAATGTCCGTCAACAGTAATGGGTCCCTCAAGCAATAAGCAAGATCATAAAAAACGAACATTTATTCAATGAATCACTCAAAACAAACACACATCCTCATTTAACAAATAATAACATTACAAAGAGATATAACTTTCTTTTTCATCTTAAAGAGCTTCTTTTTTTTTTACATTGGTGATGCTAGAAAGTAGTGCATATTATTATATCATAATCAAAAATATCTTCAAACATGAATATTTGAGCAAGCTGCAAATCACAAACCCAAAGCACACCAACTGATTGGCAGCAACGCTTGAGCTAACATATATAACTCTCAGGCATAAAGTTTGCCCCAGTTGAATTAGAACCCACTGCAACCCTAAACTCTTATGAACTACTGAAAACTTCAAGGAATCTGAACCAACACCTCTAAAAACTAAATGTTATGCCGAGAGGGATCAGCCACTAATTTTTTTTTAAAGTTGGGAGAACTATCACATTTGGAGAATACAAAAATCGGGCTATGAAAAAGATAATTATACTCTCCTATAATAACTACATAAAACTAAATGTGCATTCACTTCAGAAGTAAAAAAAGGTAGAACAATTGTTGAGCTAGCCTAAACAACATAATTAACAAATGTTAAAAAACAAAAGCATAGCAAATAATGAGCAGCAAATCCTTTTCTTATTAGTGAAAAATGAAATGATGTAAGAAGCTTCAGTGCACCCCAGACAGCAAAAAGAAACAAGCTCTTATTGTATGCTTGGGTAAAGTCATCCATTAATGTAGAACACTCTCTGCACACCTCTATAAGATTTCTTTTCCTACATTAAGTGATATATTCAAACACTGATACTCGTAGAAGTACTGTGTGTAAAGAACAAAACACCTTAATATATGATGTTTGAAAAAAGGCACAAATTTTTGCTTAGGAAGGGTTCTGTGCCAAGAGAAGTACAACAAACAACACAAAGTTTACAGACAACCAGTATACATGGGACTCCTTCCAACATTTACATCATCAAAATCTTATACATAGGAACACAGTCAATTTGAAGATGTTAACAGCAACTTTCAAAGCTTACATACACATTTCCCTAGTTATATAAAAGTGATTGACAGAACAAGAAAACCAGCTATAAAAGTTCCATTTACAGAGATAGTTTCAAACATATTGCTCTTCCGACTGAAATGGACGCACACTCAAGATCAATCGTAATAAAGAGAGGATACATTTTTCAGATCTCAAAACACTGTATAAGCATCCGATAACAAGCACCCAAAAACACTGACTTCCGTCGGCACAGGAGAAAAAGGAACAAAGTACAATTGTTTTCTCAATAAAAAAGTGTATGTACCTGTTCTGCAAACTGAGTTACGAACCCTTCCCTCACATTTTATCCAAACAACAACTCTTCACTCAAGGAAATAACAAGAAAAAACAAAAAAGTGTTTTGTTTGTAAAATAGTGGCATGTAAAACACCCCAAACATTGGAATATTGGTATAATTTGTGCAAAGTGCTGTGTCTGGCATTTTCCGTTCTGCAACTTGGTTTTGAAACTGGGAATGTAAATCTTGGTCAAAACAAAAAAGGCCAAAAAAAAAAAAAGGGTAAAAATTAATTTGGATCCCCCATTCTTGTAATCGTCTTGGATGCCTGACGTCACAGCTACCCAAATGTGGCCCCATGGAGAGAGGAGAATGTCGGATGTGCGTAGTGGGTCAAATAAGTTAAAAAAAGGGGGTCCCAAATTTACTGTTACCAAAACAGATAACAATCCAGGGTTGCATTTGAGGAAATTTTTTTACCAACAAATTAAAATCAGACCATATTTTAAAATCTAACAAGCGTAAGCTATATAAGACGCATACCTCAGGTAGTGTTTGTGTATTTGTTACATATTTGCATCTGTAAAATAATGGAACCAGCACCCCCTGCCAGCATGATTCACACATGCCCTGCTGCACACTTGGTTTTGATATGTGCTTGGATGATGTCAAAACATAAAACAAATAACCAAGCTAATCCATAACAAAATTTCTCCGCATTCACAGCAATTAGCAATTCTTACACAACAATCTCATATTTCGAATCTTATGTCTGTGAGAAACATGACAAACACAAAAAAACAACGGCACACTTTAGTGTTTTGAAGGGAATATAGCTTACCTCGTGTCTTGGTTAAAGTCAACATCTTTGGTAACAAGCTATTAAGGGGTTTTTTTCATGGCGTATGCAAAGAACTTTTGTTCTCCACACTCAGTGAGTATGGCAAATTGGAAGGTTAAAAACAAAGCCACTGGTAACAAAAGAATCAATGAAATACACAAGCAACAACAAGGTTCACAAAGGCATCCAGAACTCATAAAACAATGTCATGAAAAATTCTTTAAAGAAACTAATGCAACTCTGCACCATATTTATACGCCATCATCATCATACTCGGACAACATGGCCTGCTGCTTTTTCTCTGCCTTGTACATCTGCATGTCTTCTTGTCGCTTTCTCTTGAAGAAACCAAGCTGAGAAAAAGGAAAGAAGGAATAAAATCTTTAAATCAGCATCTGCACTCAGTTTACTTTTTTTTTAAGTACTTAAAAAGTCATATGCAAATGAATGTACTACAAATATATACTTGATAGAAATACTTTATATTGATTCTATATCATTTACATCAGGTTAGATATTAAGCCAGTTTCAAATACATTATAATCCGCTTATATCGACATGCTTTGGGAAGTGGATTTGATGTCGATAAATAAAAATGAAGGTAAATGAAAATATAAAGCCAAACAGGAAAAAACAAGGGGAGGTCAGTGGTAAAAGACAACTCTACTTTTGAAAGCTCCTTGATTCTTGAAACTAACGGAGGGAGGGGGGGGTACTACCAAAGACTGAGCAACGCGAGGCGCACACTACACACCAGCGCAAACTTTGTTGTAGCATCCTTGTATTTGTAAGGCCTGTTCTTGGCCGCTTGCTAGGGAAAATGGAAAGGCGATGCACTGACTCGCTGACAGTGGCACTTGCCAGCGACAGAGTGAGAAGGGGATGGGGAAGGGAAGTCAGCTGGGAGTGAGCGATCGGGAGTAGGGGAAGGGAAGTGATGCCCAGCGTGCGAGACGCTCATGTTTGTGAGGCATTGTACTGTGTTGAAGACTACACTGTGTAGGCCCTACATGACCTACAAGCCTGGTGTGTCGACATAGGCTACTTGGCAGGTAAGCGGACTTAATAAAGAACTAATGTGCTGACCGTAAGCGTTGCAAGTCCGTGGGCTTCGCCAGGTACCCAGGAAGCATGTCGATAAAGCAGAGTGGGCCGGAAAAAAGTCGATATAAGAGAAATTGTTTAATAAAGATATTGAAGGAAAAATTTCGTAATTGGAAAATATGTCGAAATGTCAAAATGTCCAAAATGTCGATAAATCGGACATCAATATAAGTGGATTATACTGTAGAGATCCCACCATCATATTGACAGCACTTTACATTGGTTTAACCTGGTCAGTTATAGACAGATGTTCATAAGTCTCATTGCTTTATAACTTACCTTGTAGAGAATAAAGATGACCACGAGAAGGACAATGATCCCCACCAAGACAGCCACAAGAATGATCCACCACTGTACTGTCTGACTAGAGGTCTCTTTAAACACAACACGAGTGACAGCCTGAAAACACACAACATTCACACCATGCAGAGGAGATGCAGCAAAGCATTTATTATCACAAATATGCACAATACAGTACTCTATAAGTACAATGCTCAAGAAAACAGCAATGCTGTAGTATACAAGCTAGCACAACTAAGACCATATTTTACCAAGAACAGATTTGGATAATAAAACCCTTCCAACAGTGTTAAAACAAGAGCACTCTAAGGGCCCCCCGATCAGCAGTAAAATGGAATCACTTGGGCAGCAAGGGTGAATGGTATGTGTGGTAGGTACTTGATGCAGCCCCACATACTGTTGGGCTCAGCTGAAGCTGGACAGTCTAATCCTTACCTGTTCACCAATAAACACATCTTACAATAATCCTCAACTAAGATCACCGTTCTCACAAACATTCTGAAATGGCAATTACGAGTAACAGAAAGAGATTTTGTGGGACTAAAGCTGCCCTTATTGAGGCAATAAGACCAGATAGTATTCACAAATATGTTAAGATTTTGATCTGCCATAGGACACTCTGTTACATTTATTTCCCTAAATAAGGCAGTCTTCTGTTATTTCCTTGATTTCTAACAATCCTGAGATGCAGTTGTAACGAAATTATGCTTTATCCACTGGCTCTGTGGTTATTGCAGATTTACGTACACTCAGATGACCTTATGTATTTACGAGCCCAAAATATGCCATGAAAAACGAAAAACAAGAATAAGTGTGGAACTGCTTGTTCTTTACTGTGACTCAAACTGCATAATATCTGGATCATATGAGTGGAAGTTGTCAATACCTAAAAAAGTAAAAACAGTAGATGGCTGCAACACGTCACTTCAGAAAACAGGATTTACATGTAGCAAAGATATACGAATGATATTTAAACTTACTCGTTTTTCATCATCATCTGTGTTCTGTGTAATCATGAGCTTCTTAGAAATGGTCACATTAGCCCATGATATCACCTGCACTTCACTGGCCTTCTGATAATCCTGTGAACCAAAGAAAGGAAATTATTTAATTTAAGAAATGTGATGACAAAATACAGGATTTCTCTGAAAAGGAAAGAATACCAGATTAAAAACAGACATTTGAAGAAAAGAAATTAAAGACAAACATGAACAAGAAAATGAAAATGAGCAACTGCATCGAACAACATCAGCAACCAAAACAACCAAAACATTAACATCAACAGCCTTTTATATAATTCAACTGCAACTGTCAATTACCTGGCCACTGAGACATTTTCAGCCACCTACAAAATATAAGAAAAGAGGTAATTTTTAGCAATTATATTCCCTCATGGTAATTATTCACTAGAATTTAAATGATAAAACACAAACAGCATCAACTACATCAGCCAATCCGTGATATCACAACACCACCACAATCTCAGATGTCTACTTCTTTTTCCTCCTCTTCTCTCATCCTCTACTTTAAATGTCAATCAAGTGTCAACTTGTCTCAACAACAGCTGTAGTTCTTTTTCCTCAACCTGTATTAGCGCTTGAACAATAGACTTTAGGGCTGGATTCTGCTCGGTTAATCGAAGGCTTGCAAAGCAGCAGGCGTCTTGCGCTAGAGTCTTGCGAGCAGGCTTGTGGTTTGATTTCCTCCCGCTTGCTACCGGAGGGAACTTCCGGTGAGTTGTGACTCACGGACAGTCCTACTGTACTGTGTCGTGACGTCGCGAACTCTCGTGGCAGTGGGCTCAGCACATATTACAGAAGATTCTCTGGTTATTTGCATTGAGAGGCTTGCACCAAAAGTGCAAGATCGGTTGGGTTTTTTTCATAGTTCGGTTGTAAAAAACAAAAAGCTCTATTCAATGCACTTAAAAATTAATATTGGATCAGCTATTCTTATGATGTTACGGCCTGTTTATTTTTAATGTGCACAAGCCAAGCGCTTCATCGTCGCACGCAAAAGACCTCAGTTCGATTCCCGTATCGTATGGGGAGAAATTTTTACTGAGAATCTCCGTCTTTCTGCTGGGGCGTTCGTTGTTCCCTCTCAGCCCAGGTTGGCCCTGACATTGGGTTGAAGTAGGCCTAGCCCGTCTCCTAAATGTTCTGTATTATGTCTCTGTGAGTGAAACACATCTACAAAATAGGTTACATACATACGATACAAAAGCCAATCACAACGACCCCTGGAATTTTCCATTTTAGGGTAATCTAAGTCAACTTATTCTTATTACTACCAGAAACCTAGGTCTCTGTTACTACAATACCACGCTCCCTCTCACTTATCCATTCGCTTAGCTGATCAACGGCGGGAAGTTAAAAATAACTTCAGCTCTCTACGCCTTGCGCCAAAACAAGCCCAGCCTCTCCCTTCCTCCACGGTTCAAAGTTCACACAGCGAGCAGTACTGTCTTGCTGTTTGAACACATCGGACTGTCTTGTCGCCTTCGAGACGGTCCTACGCGTGCCGCTCGCTCGGTGTATCGAGACAGTACAAGTCAGCAGGTCAGGTTTGGAGCTTGTCCTGGGGCAAATCTCTAGGTCTAGCGCAAATCAGTACTGTGTGAATTGTGGGGCCTGTGGCAGCGGACGGGACTTAAAGCTTGCGCATGCCTTCGATTAATCGAGTAAACTACAGTGCCACGCCGCGCAGTGACTCTGTGGGTGAGATCTCTCACTCTCCCCCTCTCTCTTTTTCTGATGTAAGTGGCTTCGCGGATTGCAAGCAGGGTGGGGATGATGAGGGGGCCTGACACGAGTGGCTTCACGGATTGCTAGTTGCTGTGGACTTGAAGTTTAGACTAGACCAAGGAGGTTACAGTTTGCGCTAGACTCAACTTATCATGCTGGTGATTTGATTTGATGACTTGACCTAGTGATTTGAGGCTTGTGACTTGAACTAGGGGCTTGTGAGCACGAGCAGGTTTGCTACCGGGGCACAGCCCTAATAGACTTACATCACAAAGTGTCAGTGATGATGAGAACATTTCCAGTCAAAACAATTTCTTTTAATTCTGAAGTTAAAGTATTCCCAAAATTCTGAAGTCAAAGTATTTTCAAACTACTGCTTTCTGTACAGCGAATATCCCACCACTATTTTGGTGGTCTTGAAAATATATTTTAAGTAAATTCCAATAAATTTAATTCTTAAAGTCTTCATCATGATAAACAGATGATGATTTTCCCCTCTGAGCAATGACTGCATTGTTACACCTCTACCTCATTTTGCAAGCTGAAACTCACCGCCAGCAATGTGCTCTCCCACAGACGGGATTCCATTGTGATCTTGACATAATTGACGTTGGCTTCGAGTCTACCCAGCATGCATTTGTACTCAAAGCATCTGGCAGTCCCATCTCTGCAACTCTGAAGAAGGAAGGACAAACAAAGCAATCAGTAAATGGTCACCCTGTACACAATTCTTTAAGAGGAATTTATCTCATTCATTTCTAAACAACACTAAAAGTAGAATGGAGTCTTTTTAAACTTAATATAAGAATTCATATTCAACTTCCGAATCGGTGGTAGTTTAAGTAAATACAATCATACAATCTTAATATCAGTCAAGTGGTGGGAAAAGGGCAGAATGGAAAGACAGACAACATAGAGCAATAATAAACAGGTAGAACTTAGGAGTGACGCCCTCAAACCACCAGCTTACATCCTGAGCATATTTAGTAAAAGAAAGGGCGAATGAAAAAGACAATACACAAACAAATACATTGACTAGAAGAACGTGCCTAAAATGAAAGGAAAAAAGACGGGAAAAATTAAAGTTACCGCCAAACGGCTGAAAGAAAAAAGAAGAAGAGAAATCCAAATCAGTTTAAGTTATAAGGCACAGACAACACTTTTGGATACACATGTACAAAGTCCACTCACCATGACCACCACATTCCCCGCTGCTCTCCGCACCCTTCTGCCTGCACTTCTTTTCCTCCTTGTACCTGCCTCGTCTGAATCCGGCAGCGGCTTCACTTCCACCTCCTCCACGGCAATGTCATCATCACTAGAGGCTTCCACGACAGGCTCTGCTAGCTGGGTATCCCTAACTTCCTGTTAGATATAGATTGTTTATGAGAGTTACAGAGAAGCACATCCACATGACAATCTTCTTTTAGTACCGAGAATAAAAAAGTTTTTAAAAATGAAAAACCAATGAGCCAGAGCTAAAAGAAGCAAGAATGAGAGAGACAAATGCAGTTCCAAGGAAACTTGAATGGACATAAAGGCTTAAAATGCTCTCACTGGAAAAATAAAAAGCAAAAGAGGCAGAGAAAGACCAAGAACAATTTATCTAAAGATTGGTAAGAAAATACCAGGACAACATAGATTTTTTTTAGAGTATCCAAGAATGAGTAGCCAACCATGATTGCTAATATTTGTTTCAGACCAGGCACTTACAGATGAAAACTTTTTTAACAAAAAGAAGCTCATGTGACAGAAGTAACAAACCTTGATGTTGAGAGGATTGATATACTTCTGAATGTCCTCATCATTACACTTCACGACAGGGCCAACAATCTGGGGGAAGAGAAAAGAATAAATGGTCAAGTTTCTGCGTTGCACAGACTACAAAGACAGAAATATGATGGAATATTTCTATGTGCTCACTATTCTTCCTCTCAATTATTGGCACTTAAGCCTTCAAAAGTACAATATCTGACAAAACTTCTTCTCCAGAACACAGAATATCACTTGGCTGTAAACTGCAGTGACTAGTTCTAAAAAAGTGCCTTAACAAGAGAAGAAATGTCTGAAAACAATGTCTAACATGAGTATTGATAAGGAAAATTTCAGAAATAACAGCAACCTTTTAATTTGGTTCAGCTAGTAGACTGCAAACACAGGAAAAGTGAAAAGTAAAAAAGTCCAGAGGTTGGGACATTGGCTTCGAGAAAGATGTGCAATGTCTTAAATATAACTATAATTATCTGAAGATCAGTGCCTCTTAAAAACATTTTTTTTAAAGCGTTCAACACTCTGAAACATAAGAATCTAGTTCATCAACATGAATATCTAATTTCAACACAACACACCTTTGGTTTTCTCATCATATACAGGAGGTACTTTCCAGACCCAGCTGCAGCATCGCCGACTTCATAAGGCCAGTAGATGGTGATAAAAGACTTTGAGATCACACCAGGGCCAGAGTTTCTCACCTGATAAAAACATGACAACCAAATATTGAAAACATTGTATGGTCGCTTTTAAGGACAAGCGGGCTAACCCGGATTTCGAGGGTTTCCAGAAATCTTGACCTACACCAAAAGCGGGCTTTTGCCCTACCTATACGAGAAGTTTGGATTCATTGGTGTGTATTTTTGTTTGGTTATAGAGAAAACTCTCCTTGTTTTTTAAAGAAACTGAACAGGGGGCAAAAACTTTACCTTAAATTTTCTCAAAACAGTATTTTCGGGATAGCCCCCTTGTGCTTAAAAGCGACCATATGGCTCCATCTGCACAGTTTAAATTACTTAAAACAGAGGTACCATCAGGCTAAGAAAAAAAAATCCGGAGCTCTCCGGATCCCATAGAAACACATGCTAGGGGACTCAAAATTTACTTATCACATTGTCTTATACTTTCTTATCAAGAAGACTGGTAAATTCTGGACAATTTCAGAGACCTGGATTTCCGTATGTCCAGAAAATCAGCACATCTGCTTAAATAAGAGGCCATCTGCTTTAATCCCGTTTGTCGGGGCTCAGCCAGGCTGTGGGACATAGTACACTATAGCAGGAAAATGGAGATACTCAACATAGTATATTTTCCACAACTTTTTAACTTCTAAAGTTAACAAATTAATTATCTATGCTGTCTTCCTATTTAAAAGAAAACAGAAATAAACTATACATATTATACAAAATTTTCAAAAATTCACTGAGCAAGATGATCCATTATGAAAACTTGACTTAAACTATCAGAAAAACAACTCACCTCTCAATTTTTCAATTCTAAGTGACAATGGTCCCATACTATAGAATGCTGATAGTCAACACACTTCCACATTTCAAAATTGAAATGCACACACACACACACGCACACACACACACACACACACACAAGCACACACACATACATACACACACACACATACATATACACACACACACACATACACACACACACACACACACACACACACACACACACACACACACACACACAAAAGCACTCTACAGAACTGTAGCCAGACTAAGCTGCCCCTCCTTATTTATACTACATGAAGGCACCTAGCCAGCCAGTGAGTGACCTATATTGAGCCCTTGATAAGAAGACCCTTGAACAGTCCAGGGGAGTAAACAGGGGCCAGTACAGTCTTACATCATAGATCCTTGGACAGGTCAAAGCCTGCTTGTCTTTGATAACAGACCTGATAAAACCACTAGACACCAGCAAATCACAGAGCACGAAGGACAGAGCTTCCACTTGTTCTCTGGTCATTGAAATTTTGTTGACCAAGCGAAACCTTGGCTTGAGTAAAATACTCCCCTACTTATTAAAGTTACAGATTAACTTTTAGATAAAGAGACATTGGTAGAGTTAAGTGACCAAAGCCATCAGGCAATGATGACCAAAGTGCAAAGATCAAATGATCTGGACAGCGGCCCAACAAATTAAGAAATGTTTATATGTTCATTAAAAAATGCACCCACGCACACACACGTTCTCTCTTTCTCCACACACAGCCATACATCCCCTTAATCTAGATGTCTCTTTCTCTCTCTCTTTCTCTGTGTCTCTTTTTCTTGTATAGACAGGAAACAATGAATGCATTTCAGACTTGCATAAAGAGGATCCAGGTTTTCTTGAACAAGTGCCTAAGAAAGTTACTTAAGATCAGATGGACAGACAAGTTCACCAACAAGGAAGTGTTAAGGAAAACGAGACCAAACCCAGTTGAAGATTAAGGGGGAAAAGGGTGGTGGCCATGGATTTGGACATACTCTCTAAGGAAGCCAGGCAGCTGCGTAACAAAAAAAAGTGTTGGATTGGAATCCACAGGGTAAAAGATCAAGGGGATGGCCATGTGTAACCTGAAGAAAAGTCACAGAAAATGATGTACAGAAGAGTGGGAAGACATGGGATGGTATCAAAAGGCTAACCCAGGATAGGGAAAGTTGAAAAGGGTTTGTTCGTGGCCTATACCCTGACCCAGGGTGAGAAAGTCAGTGATGATGAATTTACAAGTATCTAGTACACGTACTAGTATTTCAAATACTTACAATAAAATTATGCCTCACAGCATGCCCAATGCTTAATTCGTCTTTCATAGAACTGGCTCCACGTGGCTGTCCTTGGCTCATGATGGCATAATCAGGGTTGACATTACTGTAAACATGAAGGAGAATCATAAGGTAAGACAAAAATAGCTCTATTAAAAGACGAGGCATGATCCACGGCGTCTGAAATTCCGCCTCAGCGATCTTTTAGTTAGTCCGGGCCCCCCGTGGTAGGCCATAAATTAGCGGCAGGTGACCTGCAATTTCACGCGTCAAGTCGGGGATTGACCGGGGTCAACTCGTGCACAGTGCTGTCCTATCTTGTCCTTATCAGAACGCGTTTCTTCCCCTAATTTCATGAGCCGTAAAATGATGCTCACTCTACCCACAGAACCTATTTCTTCACCAATTTCGCTTCGTCTACGTCTTCTTGATATCTTGTGAAAGTTTCAACAGTTTTCATTGATTCGTTTGGGAATAATAACAGTTTTAAATTGTGAGTGTTATGTGATCAGAAGCGCCGTTAATAATGTTATCTCTTCAAATTTAATTACAAATCATTCGAGAATGGAACGATGGTCTTTATTTCTGTTTGCGCGGTGTGATAGCCATCAAATCATATTTTCTAATGATGTGAATTTTGTTTCTCCAGCACTTTGCGGTGACTGGAAATCAGTTAGTGAATTGTGTTCCTAAGTAAAAATCGTTAAAATGCAATGGGTCAGTCACACATATGAGAGGCATAGAGTCTCTGAATGAACTTTGTCGTGTGTGTTGGCGTTTAAATTTAACTGTCAAACAAAAAAAGTACAGAAAGCCCCGATTATGTAAGACAATGGCAGGAGATATTCTCTTGGTTTATGGGATTGATGTGAGGGACGAAAATGAACAGTCGTACTCCACTAACATTTGTGTCAAGTGTTTTACCACGATTTCAACTATCAAACAGAGATATGGTGTTACGTCACGTCAATTCATGCCGCAAAAAAGCAGTTGACACCAGTAGGAACATGTGGTGTGCGTTTGACAATAGCATAAATGTGAATTCCTTCTCCATTTTGTCGGTACCGCTTAGGTGGCTGCATACAAAGATCCATTTCAAGCTAACATCGTAAAACACCCCAAGCATACCTCCCCCCATCCCCATGTATGTAAGGAACTAACAAACACAATTTATACAGAAACAAGAAAATACTCCCCCGAAACTGCAAAAATTGAGGAGGCAAGTGGACTGGAAGCAATATTCAATCTTCTCAATGAAAGATTTAGCCATGTTCACACTGCAATATCACATCTGAAACCGTCAAACAATTTTCACTTCCAGAAATCTCCGTAGCAATCGACAATTACATGTCCGCATTCAGACGCTATTTCCCCACAAAATTATCCCAAAGCCACACATATCATAGCAACACTGTATTCCACACATACAACAACACATGTTTGCTCTCGGGCTTTTAGGAGAACAGGACACAGAAAGCAGCCACCAAGAGATCTCAAAACTGGAAGCCAGAGCACGAAGGATCTCAAACCAGATAGACATAATGCGTTTTATTTTTTGTGTCGCATCTCCTGCAAATAGCCCCCTCATTGCGTGCTGCTGGATATGTTTAGAAAGAAAAATTATATAAATTTATTGTTTTATTCTGTACGTGTTCATTTTGTGAAAAGAAATCGGTGCTGTATATTGAAGATACGCCAGTATATCATTATTCAGGAGGATACACAATCCATTGGATACAAAAAGTCATGAATGCAGGGAAGCGTTTTGGCTATTATGCTCATGACAAGTTCCATGTTCGTGCTGGAAACAAAATTTTGAGTGAGTCAATTTCTAAACACATTTTCCTGTCTTACGTGGCAGTTTTGTAAATATTTATCGTTAGGCTTATAAGTTATTAGCCATTCAATATGTGTTTGTTGTTTTGACTAACTATAAATAGACATACATTTTAAGAGCATCTAACTCAAAAACGTGAGCAGCCATGGTATTGCTATTTCGTACCAATAAAGAGGTTTAGTTGCTTTCTCTAAAGAACAAACTTGTGTTCACGTATGATATTTTTTGTTTGTGTAAGACGATAAAACATGTGTTGAAAAATTCATTTCACCGACTACCGACGCAGGTAGCGGGTAGCGGGAGGGCGGGTTAGTGACCTCTGGGTGACCGGCCCGCCGTGACCCGGTCACTCCATCGCCGATCCAACTAAAAGAGCGCTGTCTGTACGCCGTGGATCAAATCCTGCTACCTCACCTCCTTTTCATTCTTTCACCATCATCACTGTGATGTCAAGGGAGGCCAGGTAACTTTACATAACCACTATAATAAACAAATAGCGTGTGAATGGCTTCTTCACAGAATGTATCTATCATGCTTGTAAGCCAGAGCCTCCATAATGATACGATCTCAAAAGAATATGAAACAAATACACCACACAGAATGACAATAAGACGGAAATGCCTCAAAACACTTTCTTCCAGATAGTTAAAAATGTGAGATAAATGACAGTTTAGCCTTTTCAGCTATGACATTGTTTTACGGGTTGTAAAAAAAAGAGGCAATACAGAAAGACTAAAAAGTCTGACATCATGTTTTATCGAGAGATTTTTTTACAATTATTTCCAGCTAAACGCTGCTATAAAAAAGGAGACTTACATAATAAAAACCCTTGTACAAGTCAAGATACAGAAGAAGAAATGTTAACCTTTACAGCTCTAGCCACTTGTATTTCCCTCACGAGTTCTCGTTGCCCCTGGCCCACTTGTGTAAATTTCCCTATCAGGGCACTGCTCACCTCAAACTCAGTTATGCATTATTACCATAACCTATCCAATTGTCTCTGGAAAATATTTTACACGTTTTCTTCTAAAACTTCAAACAAAAGCAGACCATACATTTTGTTCACGCCTGCAAAAAATCACAGAGTCAGTATTTTCTGAGCCTGAAGAGTCAAGAACTCCAGAGTGACTTGGGCCAGAGGGAAGTGAGGGTTAAAAAAATGGCTCTGTGCTGTCAAGGTCAACAACTTATCATATCATAAATATAACGAGAAATGAGACAGACTTACGTATCCATGAAAATCTCAGCTTTGTTGATGACCTTGAAGTTCAGTACATGCTTATCATTGACAACGCTCTCCTCAAGGCTAGACCTGTCAAAAACAAACATTTTGTGTGACTTAGCAAGAAAAAAACATCATAATATAAAGTACAGAGTACAAAGTATTTTTTCACTACCCCAAAAAAAATAATAATTTTCATAAAGCCATTTGTCACAAATTTATCTTTTCAGCACTTTTGGGTTTTTTTCTTTACAAATCCAAAAACCATTCTGAAATCAGTAACAGCCCGTAGTGTATCCATCCCCCAATACTTCAATTATAATGGAATTTATCGCCCATTATTGTAGTGCTAAAATAAGAAAAAGAAGATGTAATATGAAAGTTTTGGAGTCATGAACAGAGCAAGCAGCACAATTATATACAGCATACAATTTTGAATTCCTAACAAAAATGTATTGTACAGCTGCTTTGAAAAGCAATTCCCCTCTTACAAAGTACAGTTGAACCTGCTCTAACAGTCACCTGGCCAAGACAATCACCTGTGCAAGCATCCGCTTACCATTACCCCACTTGGGTTGGGTTTTTTTTATTTTGTTTTTTTTTGTTTTTAATTCCGGTGACACCACCCAAGACATCCACAAGTCTAAGACAACCACTAGTCTCCTCAACAACAGTGGCTGTCTTGGGCAATTTCGACTATACTTTCTTCATGTCTCATCTCCAACTCACGTGTTGACCCAGGCTGTCAGGTTATAGATCTCCGTGCTCTCCACAAGCTCACGGGGGACGTTGAGCTTGAGAATGAAATACACAGACTTGTCAGTGCGCAGCGGGTTCCCGATCCGCTCACATTTGATGAGGGTTTCATCCTCCTTCAACCCTTGGCATGAGACGGAGTCCTGAGGAGAAAACCAGACTTTCAAACCTTTGCATTGATGGGAGTTAAAATCTTGAAAATTTTGATCCGACCATGGATCAAGAGATAAACCGAAGTACACAGTGTTTATATACCAGATGACCCCAAAAAAACCTTTACCCACGTAGACACCCATAAAAATAATTAAAATAGAGATAGAAACGCAAGATTTCACAGACGTACTTGGTGTCCATCCCGATTTATTGTGACAAATTTATAAATTAAAATTCGAAGTTTGGCTGCTTCCAAGGTACTGTGGTTTTTGTTACGTATTTCTCTTTCCGAATGGGTCAGCTTGCATCCTGTAAATTTTTGTGTGAATTGTGAACTTTGGTGCCAAGTTATAGGCTTTCCCATGGGTAAAGGTTTTTTTTGGTCAGTAGGTACATGGATGACATTTATCATTACTAGATAAACTAACAGTAACACATTCACATATGTGAGGCAGCGTGGTGAAATCAGGCACTCATTAAAATAATTAAATCTAAAAAACAGGCATTTTTTCTCCATTTTGGCAATTTTTGTCAAATTTTTGTTTTTTGGCTCAACACATAATTTTATGTCCATATAAAAATACACTTACATACTGAAAAATGTTTAATGGCACAAAATATGTACATTTTCAATTTTCGAAGACTCACAAGCTATGAAAGTTACCAAATTTTGGTGGCTATTTTCTCGCAAATTTTACCTCAGAAAACAGGTCACCCCCACCTCCTTCAAACGCAAATATCTCGATGTCTATTCAAGATAGATGGGTATTTTTTTCTTTGAAAGAAAGACAAATAAACAAGCTTTAGGATTATAGCTATAGCTCCATAAGCCCAGAAATTGACGATCCCACCGTGTCTTGACACATATTATCAAACAACAAGTCATATTCTTTATTCATCGTAAGTCAAAGCAACATTATGGTAGGAGAAATGAGTAAAATTTTATGTAAAATTCAATAAATCTTTAAGGAAAACTCAACTGCAACAAAGGAACATATCATATCAAGCCTTGAATCACATGACAGGGTGGGGGTTGAGGGAGGGAGGGCAGCAAACTTATGCTTTGGGACTAATACTGTCAGTATACACATAAACAGTGTCCAGCAACACGGTCACTTTATGAGTAGGTATCCTAAACTCAAATCAAACTCAGACTGAGTAGCCATGAGCTATTGAAGTAGATGACTCAAAAACTAGACTTCACCATATACAAAGATCCCCATCATTAAAAACCTAAAAACCGTGTGAAGGTCCCCACAAAAGGGAAGCACATCAAACACACTGACCTGTGACTCTGTGCCAATGTATGAAACACCTTTGGGCTTTTTCACGTAAATCCTCGTCTCATAAGCCGCTTCACCCAAATTTGCAACGCTCATGATCACTTGCAGAGTATTTTCTCTTTTGATGATCAGCTCGTAATTTCCATTTTCATCCCTGTTGAGGTAAACAAAAGTCGGAGAGGAATTTAATGAGGGAAAAAACTAACAAGCTAAAGTTGACATGTTTTTCAGTCTAAATCGAATTATCAGTTACAGCAGTCATTTAATAGAGATAAAAAATTAGTCAACAGGTCTTTGTTGAAAATGAAACAAAAGTGATAAACATCACAAACCCAGGCTAAACAATCACCCACTCAACAGGACACTAGCATGTCACAGACGAACTATTCAACATTAAACCTCAACCCCCAAGTTCACTTAAATAGCTGCAGGAATGACCAGTTAACCGTGCTGTTGTGCTGAGTCCAATTTCCATTCACCTGTGTATTATCAACAGTCATTATCTACAACACAAACTGGAGGTTTCTGTTTTATAAAGCCAAGCATTCAAGTGTCGCTCATTGATCTTACTTTGAGACAAAAGGTATTCTGCTCAAAGGGAGCTGAAGGATCACATCACATCAAGAGTCCACAAACCACACCCATTCTCAGAACTTACTGGGACAATCCATCAAGAAGTGCATCAAACTGCAGGTTACTATTACATATGTTGTCGTCACCACAATCCTTGACAAAGTCAGCCTACGGAGGTAGAAAATTTAATAGTGTCCATAGTTTAGTCAATGGATATAGAAATAAAATCTACTGCTCATACATACCAAAAACAATCAATGAGAAAACACAAATATATGGAAAGAAAATTTTCTGGGGCATCAGAATTCAAAATAATGGGAAGAGGAACAGAGCATACTCAACCATACCTGAGAATACACACATCCATCAGGCAAGTGGGAGCATATTTTTATTCATTGTAGGGTCCAAGTCGAAATGCCAAATGTCAATCATCATAAATATTGGTTTCATGTACATACTAGAGAGAAGCCAAGGGAAGTACGCCATATGAAACACAGTAAAGAAAAATGAAGTATTTACAAGATATAAAAGAAACGGGCACTCAGGAACATAGGAATATCAGTCAAATTTGTTAATGGAGGAAAAAAGACACATTAGTGTTTCTAGGCCCTCTCCGCCCTTTTCCTCTGAACCTACAAAACCCACGCACTTGATGTCCATGAGCTTCCTTCGTTCAGCTGCAAATTTACACCATTGTATGCCAAGGCATACATTCATTGAACTTAAAGGATCCATCCTCAGGTTGTATAAGGTTAAGAATCTTAACACTTGTCCTAAGTGTAGCTTCAATACCACTTTAAAGTTTGCTAATAAAATATGAAAGGCATTGCTTGCGGAAAGCCACATTTTCACCGAGGCTCAATTTACTGAGCATTTCACTCTAGTGCTTTAACATTTGGCTAATGTAATCAATGGTCCTGGCTCATCTGGAGAATGTGATGTGCATATTTTCACAAGCAACAACACAAAATAAAGCCAAAATCCCATCATATAGACATAATGCACTGTAAAAAGGTGTTAAGTTATTATCTTGGGAGCAAACAAAACTGACACCATAAAGGATGGAAAAGACAAAAATGACACAGAAATGATGTCACATACCCAGGCAACAACAGAATTTGCACTATCTCCAGCAGAACCTTCAGTATCTAACACAGGGAAACGATTAACGTCTTGAATAGCACTGTCCGGGTAGCTACTGATGTCATCATCGCTCAGATCCAGGCTGAATGAAAATGTGAACTCTATGCGGTTGAACTTGTCATCTAAGGAGTTCTGATTTGACAAACAGAGAATTGAGGGAAAAAATGGTCACTGTTAATAAAAAACAAAGAACATATATTTCAAGAAACGAAAACGGACTTCCATTTTTTTTATCCCAAAAAAAGGTAGATTAGTTAATACTTATTTACGTACTGTTTGGCAGCTATAAAAGTAATTTTCAAATACCAGAAAATCATACTTCTGGACAAAGCTGATTTAACAGAAAAAACTTTTTAAAAAGAGCATGAAGAAACCTAAAGAGACTGGATAAGTTCATTGAAGGATACATGACTCCCTTCATTAACAGAGTATTAGCCCAAAATGTCATCAATAAAATATCATTAATTTGACCCCATGTTGTTCATTTTCAGACTTCGCTCCCCTCTCAAAACAATTTTTAGTATTTCAAAATTGAGCAAATTTTAAAATCCACTACTTTTTAACAGGTAACTTCCCTTTGCGGATTCAACGTATTGCAGTTTATCAAAAGAGGAGCTGAGAGACTACTCTATGAGCTTTTCACCTTCAAAAAGGTAAAAGCCAGTGCACACTGCAGAAAGTTTCATCAATATAAAGGTCTATTTTAAATAGTGTGCACTGGCCAGCACCATTTGCTGACCCACCTCAATCCAATCTGATCATGAACATACAGTTCATTAGAACTCTGGGTATCCGTTTTAAGACTCATTGTTTTAGTAAGAGTTTTACACCACTTGCAAAATAATTAGGTCATACAAGTGCAGAATATTAGAAGGGTTACAAGAGAGCAACAAAGACAAAAAAGGAGGAGGAGTATTAAGGACAATAGATGTTTGACAGGAAGGAAAGAGCAAACTACACCGGAGCATCTGCCAACCACCCACGCTAAGACTCTACAACAAGATACTCAAACATAATTACCTTAACAAAAGCATACTCTTCCACGCAAGTGGTTGAGGGAGACAGCTGCACCCTCCTATTCTCCAACACCTTTTTGAAAGGGTCTGTAGAATCTTTGAGTTCTACTCTGGCTATTTTCCTTTGCTTCTCTGCTTCAACACTGTACACCAGCGTGGGGAAAACTTTAATGCTGTAAGGAAAAAAAACGCAAACAATTCATAACAATTCACATTCTTTGTATGTTCAATCTAAAACACAAAGATCAGGCGATCAGTATCTTTTAAGAGTTCCTATAAAAGGAGGTAAAACGTTTGCCTACCTTGCCCCATCAGTTTGGAATTCTCTTCCCCAACCCTTGAGGCATACAACATCTGAGTCTAAATTTAAAATACCTTTAAAGACCCATTTAATGACATCATTTTTATATTAGTAGTTTCATGTTCAGTTCAATGTTATGTAAACAACTATGTATGCTTTTATGTATTTTGCGAATTGCATTGTGTATATTATTTTATTATGTTTTTGTATGTGCTCATTTCGTAACGATGTGTAAGCGTGCACGTATGATAAGTAAGTAGATGTGTGTGTGTGTGTGTGTGTGTGTGTGTGTGTGTGTGTGTGTGTGTGAGTGTGTGTGTGTGTGTGTGTGTGTGTGTTTGGCGTGCACGTGTGTGCACATGTGCGCTTGTAATGCGTGCGTGCGTGCGTGCGTGCGTGCGTGCGTGCGTGCGTGTGTGTGTGTGAGTGCACGTGCACGTGCATGCATGCGTGCGTGAACATTGTTCCTACATGCATTTATGTAAAGCCCCTAGAGCTGTGTTCACACTGGAGTGGGCGCTATAGAAATGGTCTACATCATCATTATTATTATCATTATTAGATGTACACCAGTGTGGGAAAGACTTTAATGCTGTAAGGAAAAAAAACTCTAACAATTCATAACAATTCACGTTCTTTGTATTATAGTATGTACGCTAGCGTGGGGGGAAACTTTAATGCTGTACAGTGGAACTCGGATTCAACGAGGCCACCGGGCCTGACCTAAATTCTCCTTGAATCCGAGTGTTCATTATAGCGAACACGAGGTTTTGTGTAGATAATTACAGGCACTGAGCAAATAATGTATAAAGAGAAGTCACAAGTAGTGCCTGAAATGCCTGCATATTATAAGCTGAGTAAAAAAGAGACCGATTCGTTCAAATGCACACACCTGTGTAATCTCGATTGCTAACCAAAAAGTTGTGTTGCTGTGTAGAGCCTAGCATACAGTAACTTAAGAATTCCACAGACCAGCGCACAATTCATTACGTAGATCTACGTCAAGATTAGCTAAATCATTGTAATAATGATCAGTTGCCGAGGGGAAAAAAGACTGTGACACACTAGTATCTGCGACATTCATGATTCAACGCTCGGACCGCTAGTGCGCCCCCCCCCCTCCCTTCCCCGACACGCACACACAGTCACACGTGTGCAGGCCAACCATCCGACCCAGACACACGCCTGAGTAGACACGTGCGTTTGCCAAAAACACATGTGTTGGTATGAAAAAGGCCGCTGATTGGTCGCAATCAATCGGCTAAGTGAATAAAGGCTCACGATGCAGGCGCAAAGGATGGTTTCCGGGAATAGATAAAGTTCGTTCTGGGAGAAAAATGAGCGACGCCACATCCTCGGGGGCTGTTCACCCTGGGAGCAACCTTGTTGAATCCCAGCTCACTGATGAAAGTGCTCGTTGAATCCGGGTTATTTTTATTGATTTTAAAGAAGAAGAAAAAACGGGAAATCTATCTCATCTCGTAGAACCCGAGTTCTTGTTGAATCCGAGCTCATTGAATCCGAGTTCCACTGTAATAACAAAACACCAATTCATAACAATCCATGTTCTGGTTTTTTTGTAAAGTGAATGTAACACTTTTTTTGTGAAAATGTGCTTCATAAGTGAAATTTTGGTAGCCTGTACCCAATACCAGGGTGAAAGAGGTAGATGATGAAGTGAGAAATATTATCATTACGTATCATTAATTCTAAGTAAGAAAGGCATTCTCACCTGTTAAGAGGGCGGGTGGTATAATTCACGCACAGCTCAATCTTCAAGCAACGCCTATTTTCACCGGCGATGAATGGACACTCGGCAGGGGCCTCCATGTCAATAGACTCAGGCATTACATTCAGATCAGCGTGGAGCTTAATTATGGGCCTTGAGCGGACAAGAACAACAGCATCGGACTCATACGCCCCAACAAGGAGATCTGGATATCCATTTTCATCCAAATCTATTCCTCCAGAAAGTGAGTATCCAAAGGAAGACAGGGGCTGAACATCTTGAGGAAGATCCGACGCTGTTATCCTCTGAAAAAAAAATATGGTGAAATGGTACAGGATTAACACCCCTATCAACATCATTAGGTTATTTAATAGGCAAGACCTCTGAGTAGAACATCTATCTTCTAAAGGACCAGACCAAATGGGAAATTTGTGTAAAGTGCATTTCCCAAAGATACAATATCAGACCGAGCTGAGGCTTAAACTCCTTTGAAACTGTTTTTTTCAAACACGGTAATTATGGCAAATTGATACAATATAATTTGCTTTTTGTTTTTCACAGATAGTAGAAGAAGCTGAAAACAGTTTCAAAAGATTCTTCCTTCCCATAGGAACAAGAGAAACATGGATGATGGGGTGGACACTATTCTTTGCATCATTTTTACTACACAGGCTTTCAACCTCATCCCTTTATTCTGCAACGCATCTGGATCCTTTTGCTTTTTCATACGGAAGCCCTGTCATCCAAAATTTTGACCAACACATTCAGCTGCAAAGTTTGCATCTAAGAAAATTCTGCTGGATCAAAAAGGTCCCCAGAGATATAATGTGTATCACTTCTGTCAAGAGAGATGTAAAAATTGAAGCAAAAGGCCAAATCCTGCTTTAGCCATTAAAGGGTTAACATTATCCCAAAAATGCATCAGAAAAAAAAACAATCACAAGGAGATACCTATGAATCCATTTCTGCCCCTTTTTTCTGTGCATGTTATGGCACATGACTGAATCAAAGAAATCTCTTAAACATTTCTACAAGAAGCGATTTTTAGGACTACTCTGTAAAAGTTTTATACCAACATTGATGCAACTTTAATCATTTTGAAGGTCGACCATTTCAAATCTTCCTACAAGGGACAGCAGAGAAAAGAAGTATAATACAATACATTCTTAACATGGGAATCCAACTCATTTTTCTGGTGTGCAAGGCGAAAAGCGTGACCAAAATACCATACAAGGCCACTGACAAGAGCATATGACTGCGACCAATCATTTCTCAAAGACCACCATCCTTCTGCCTTACCCTCTTCACTGTGACATGACCAGCTCTTACAGTCTATTTCTGACTCCATAAACACACAAAAAACAAACAATGCTACTACACTCTTCATTTTTTTTACTTACTTGAACATAATCAGTATTGAATCCAGCTTCTGAGTTGTCTCCATGGTAAATGTAAACAGCACCAGTGCCTTCATAAGGAGCACCAACAGCGAAATCTGAAAACAGTTTCAGGTCAGTTTTAAAACAGAATGAACACGACACAGTAAACTTCACCTACTTAAGTACATTAGGATAACAGAAAGACTACTATTTATTCATGGCAATATTTTCGCACATGTTAACTCAATTAAAAGAAAGCATAAAAGGGGACAAAAATAGATGGCGAGAGCTGGTTTTCCAATGCAGTGGTGCCCCAACGGTTGCCCCAACCACGGGATAGAAGAAGAAGAAGATAAAGGGGGGCTCCTGTTGCCTAGAGGTTAAGGTGTTCGCCTCTCATTCCGGGTTCGAATCCGGGTAGCGACGGAAATTTTTCTCTCTAAAATCATCTCCTTTCACCTCCTTTCCTGCTCTTTAGAAATGTTCTGTTGTCTGCATTTGTCTCCACTTTCTGCCCCAACCCCCTCACCTCCTTTGCCCCCTCCTCTGGGCCCCTGACTCTTTCTGCAGCCTTTCTACTGCTTCTCCTTGGCTCCTTCTTACTGCCGTCTTTCAGCCACACCCCTGATCTTCTGGTAGGAAAGATCTACACCTAGCCTTCCTAGACAAAGGTGAAAAATCTCGGAGGTCCGTTGTGCAAGTTGCACACGTTAAAGTGGTCTTGGTGGTCTAAAACCAATAAGAGTAGGCTTCGGCTGCCATCCGTGCAATTTCAAAATTTCCTACCAACTGAAAATGTTTAATATGTCCTGAACGCTCATATGACCTTATGCAGCGCCATAAAACACTTACCCCCCACAAAAAAAGCATAAAGGGAAAAGTAATATTAACAGCTGGATAAAAACTGACCTTGAAAAGAATCCATGTTCACATCACCAATCTTTGACACACTCATGCCAAAGCGAGCATGCTCACACAAGAGAGCTTCACATTCCTCTGTTCCCAATTTCCGACTCAAAACCTCCGTGTGCACAGTCCCTTCAAACTGAAAACAAATATATGCTCAGTTAAATCAGAAAAAGCTTTTAAATAAAAACACATCACAAAGCTAACTGGAAGAGTATATAAAACACAATAAGACGTGAGGAAAAATTGAAAAAGCAACACATAAATCTCTAGAAGGATGCTAGAGTTGCATTTACAGCTAAAATTTTATTCACCCTCGGTCTAGACAAATTAATGAATTTTTTTTTAAAGTGTCCCACTACTGCACTCAGATGTTAATATACTCTTCAAAAAAAGAAACGCATACCCAAGTGCATGTGTTTTTATGATAATAAAATATGTAAAGATGAGGTTTTGTGCATGCTAGTTTTTTTCACACATATGTGTGATTTGTTGTCTTGAACTTTTGACTACAAATTTCATCGTTTACTCACAGGTAGGCGCAGCCTGAGCCTTTGAATTGTGTGATGGTTGAGTGTTAAAAAGCTCACAACTTGTCTAATTTTGTGAGCAGTCGCACGAAACTAGGCGTGTGAGTTCATTCACAGGGTGTCTATATAATGGCCGAAAAAATTGGTTTCATCACTTGTTAGTTCAGCGATACACCATGCCACGACTAACGATAGAAGAGCAAAACCAGGCTACTGGACGTTTGCAAGCCGGAGAAAGCGAAACTGATGTTGCCACACATTTCAACGTGTCATCGTCTACCATCAGCTGACTTTTTGCAAAGTTTCAACAGTCCAACTCCACTGCCGATCAACCGAGAAGCCAAGGGCAACAACTCGAGCCCATGATCGCTTTATTCAGCTTCGTCACCTGCGGGATTCTTTTGTGCCTGTCTCTTCAACGGTCCAAGCGCTTCGGAATGTCATCAGAATTTCCGACAAGACAGTACGCAACCAACTCCAAAAAAGAGGGTTACGCGCATATCGACCTGTTTTCAGGACATTGTTGACGGACCGGCATCGCCAACAGCGACGACAATGGGCCACTCAGCACGTGAACTTGAGGCTACAGAACTGGCAGAACGTATGGTTCAGTGATGAATAAAAATGTTCTCATCTCTCGACACGATAGACGACGTCAAGTTTACCGACGTCGAAATGAGACGTTCGCTGCTGGATGTATCTCCCAGGCCTTATCGCATGGTGGTGGCAGTGTGATGGTGTGGGGAGCAATCAGCCACACTCGCAGGAGCAACCTGGTGAGAGTACAAGGTAATCTTGCAGCCCAGGCCTACATCAACAACGTCCTCCTACCACATGCCCTTCCATTGCTTCAACAACCAGGGGCAATCTTCCAGCAGAACAATGCCAGACCGCATACTGCCAGAGTAACTAGAGACTTTCTGGCTAGGAACAATGTCCAGACACTCACTCCCATGGCCTTCAAATTTACCGAATATGAACGCTATAGAACATATTTGAGATGCTTTGGACAGACGTCTCCTGAACAGAGTTGTCGCCCCTGCCACTCCTGATGAACTGTTTGCCGCCTTGGATGAAGAGTGGAGGGCAATACCATTTCCCAACATTCATCGTCTCATCGCCTCGATGCCTACAAGATGTCAAGCGGTACTCCAGTCAGCAGGGGGCCACACCCGGTACTGAATGGCCATTCTTGGACGGACGGATCGGAGCATCCAATTGATTTTTTAAATCAATTCAACTTAATTGTTAATTTATAAACAGCAATGAATAAAATTTCAACATGTATTTTCTTTCCTTCATTTATATCAAAAGTGATTCAGTGCTATATATACGATTATACACGGTGGCCAATTTGGTTATGTGTTTCTTTTTTTGCACAGTATATGATTTGCATGTGACAAAATTCCACCCTTCAATAAAAACAGAAGCAGAACAAAAAAGGACAAAATCAAGGAAAATAATAAACTACATATGCTTACCATTGAAGGTCCGCCCAAATATACATAAAAAGCACCCCCATGGTTCTTCTTGTAGTAATAAGGGGCCCCAACTATAAGGTCGTCATATCTGAAAAAGAACAAAGAAAACTCATCACCATACTTTGACAGGTATATTTATCGTCACTTTTGTCAAAAAGGAATTAAATTTCAAATACGCAGAGGAATTCTTTTTTAATTCTAATTTGAGTTCAGCGTTGTCGCATTGTGCCTATCAATATCAAACAAATCTTTCTACATAGATCAATACCAGTGTCTTTTTTTTGGATTCTTAAAAGCAAGCAAGAACTTATCAATTCAATTCAGTCAGCTTTTCTTCCTCTACAAGTTCCAGACTTGATACAGACATTTGTGATAATGGCTCAGTACTCATTTCTCTGGGAGATCAATCACCCACAGTCAGAGCACACAAGCAGTTCCTCCATGAAAAACTTAATACTCCCAGATTACTGGAACACAATTGACTTCGTAATATTATTTTTTGCAATTTAGAGAAAATCTTTAGACTTGAACAGGTGTGAAAATGTCTGAATACTATGATTTCTTGTTTACTAGCAATATAACACTGCTATACTGAGGATATGAAACAGATAACAGGCATATTTACGATATATCATTAACAAAAATTTGGAGAAAGAAAAAAAGACTTAGGCAATTATGTTATAAGCCTCAGAATTCATTCTCAAATTTGATGGCAAACGCCTACCCATCATTATTTATATCCACAGCTGCCAGGCTGGAGCCAAACCCGGAGAACAGTCGTCGACCCTGGAGAATCTGTGACTTGTCATAACGAAGAGCATTATCACTCCTGTGCGTGAAGATGACTACTTCTCCCAGAGAGCTGGACTTGGGAGCTCCAGACACATAGTACAGTTGTTTGGTGCCATCAAATTTGCCCATAGTGACGGCGTAACCTATGCACAGGAGAGAAGAGAAGGAGAACATCGATATCACAAATATTATAAGATGGGAGGTAAAAGTAAAGTATAACATATACACACACACACAAACCCATGTCTTCATGCATCACAACAATCATAGCCTACCAAGTCTTGTTCCTGTAAGACATATTAACACCCAACCCACAAAGACCCTAGGTCAAGCAATTCAAGAAGTGGGAAGGGAGGGGGGGGGGGGGGGGGGGGGGGGTGCTATACTTTACTTTAACTGATAGAATGCAGCTCGCGATGAAACTCCTGTCACTTGGACAAAATCGTATCTACGTCTGAAGAGCTGGAAAATCGTAGTCACAGCATCCTGGCCTATTTTTCATTGACAAACAAAATATTTTAAAGTGCTTGAAAAAAACACTCTTTGCCACGGACCTATTTCTAAGTATAATGGTAGTGGTTTTACGTTGTGATGTATGAGTAAATCAACTCAGTTGGCCTTTTCCTGAGACTTGTTCTTCCATCATCAGTGACCCTCAGTCTTCTCTTGGAACAATTAATATGTGAGGCTTGCCGACATAATGAGTTACTTCTTGCAATCCACAAGTGGAGATATTGGCCAAAAACCAAAACTAGGGTCAAATTTGTAGATGTTCTATTAATACTCATTAAGTATAACATGCCTTTTAGTATTTCATCCTTATAAATTGTAAAAACTTCACCTATAAGCATGATGTCTACATGTATTTCCATTGGTCTGGAATACGAGAAGTAACTCATTCTGTCAGCACGCCTCACATATAATTCCGAGTTCTCGTTATTTACAAGCTATCTGACTAAGTACTCCAGTGACAGAAAGATTAGTATAGACATATTTTTTTTAAATCAAGCCTCTTTCTAGGAGGCAAAGCAAAACGACAGACTTGAAATACAAGGGAATAAAAGACAGAATATAAATAACCTGATGAAAAGGAAAAAGTTCCCTTTCAAAAAAGTTCTGTTGATAATTTTTTTAAAGATGAAAATTTGAAATACGTCTAAGAAGATTATCTGTCTTGAATAAACACCACTGAATATCAGACTGTTAATTAACGACATAGTGTTGAATTTGCTCTAACTGCCCACCTGTCCTAGACAATCACCAGTACAAATGACCACTTCCAGATTCCCCCCATTGCATTTTTCTACATCATACTGACACTATCCAAGATGCCCATCACTATTAGATAGCCTTTTTTCTCCTCCACGGTGGATAGAGTTTTAAGACATAATTTCCACTGTGTTTTTTCGTTTGTTTTTGTTAAGTGTTTTACGGCGCTCGCAACTGCATAAGGTCATATGAGCGCGTGGGACACACATAATATTTTCAGTTGGTACGAAATTTTGAATTTTGCCCGGGGGACGGCCGAAACCTACTCTTATCGATTTTAGATCACCAAGGGATCTTTAACGAGCGCAACTTGCACACGGGCCCTCCGAGATTTTTCGCCCTTGTCCGAGAAGACTAGATGTAGATCTTTCCCACCAGAAGATCAGGGGTGTGGCTGAAAGACAGCAGTAAGGAGGAGCCAAGGAGTAGCAGTAGAAAGGCTGCAGAAAGAGTCAGGAGCCCAGAGGAGGGGGCAAAGGAGGAGAGGGGGTGGGGGCAGAAAGTGGAAATGAAAGCAGAAAACAGAACATTGCTAGAGAGCAGGAAAAGAGGTGAAAGGAGACAATTTTAGAGAAGAAAATTTTTCGGCCGCTACCCGGATTCCAACCCGGGACCTTTGAATGAAAGGCCAACACCTTAACCTCTAGGCCACGAGAGCCTCCTTATTTCCACTGTACAACGGAAAATCTTTATTCTGCTCATCCCACAACACATACACTTTCCCTCTCAGGACCTCAAATAGTCTTGAGTGTTTGGGGGTTTGTCTTGTTGTTTTTCTTCAGAGTAAACAATTTCCACTGTATAAAGGAAAATCTTCATTTTGCTCATCTTACAACAGGTTATTTCTCTTTCTCAAGATCTCAATAGTCTTGAGAGTTTTGGGATTTTTGTTCTACTTTTCTTCATGGCAAACAATTTTCAAAGTATAAAGGAAAATCTTTACTTAACTCATCTTACAACATGTACATTTTCCTGCTCGGAATCTCAGTAGTCTTGAGTGTTTTGGCATTGGTTTATTTATTTTTTCTTCAAGCTCAACATGCATCCAAGAAACTAACCATTATAGGAGTAGCTGCTTGTTGGACTGAGCTGTCCTGTTCCTTGAGAGTCGGATCTCCTGTACGGACTGGGAACTTCTTTCCAGGAAACGCCAAGCTCATCAGTCACGTTCACATAAAACATAACACCTGCAGACAGAACAGGAACAAAGTGCACCATGTGGGAAAAAAACATACTGAGAACTAAAAGCAAGTTTCACTCAGCAGAAGTACAGCGCATCTACATGGTCATATAATATAAATAGATATCAGTCATTTTAAAATCAGCTTTTCGTGCAAAGAAATAATTTTTCCAAAAAGTTTTCAAAAATTTCTGTTAACTGGCCCTGTATGACAGCCTGATAATTTTCAGGGGTAAACATAGGGGGTTTTTTTCATTTCTTTTCCCTCTCCAAAATTGTCTTTTTTACCAAAAGCGGCAACCAACTAAAAGGGGAAGAAACTGTCCCTTTCTCTGAGGAAACACCTTGCACCGGCAGCGTTATCATTGTAAAGGTCAATGCCCTTCACCAACATGCTGTAGAGTTGCACAACTTTATAGGGCAAATCTTCCATCAGTCTCAACTATATAACAGTGAGTTTAGTGTAGTTTAAGTAAGAGTTTTACAGCACTTACAATACAAATAGGTCGTATAAGTGCCGAAGGTTAGAGGTCTCCAAAAAAAAGAGAGAGTAACACTAAAAAAAAGGAGAGGAGGAGAGATACAGATGAGAGATGTCCGATAGGAAAGAAGGAGCAAACCACACAAGAACACACAGATGTCTGATAGGAAAGAAGGAGCAAACCACACAAGAACACATAGATGTTCGACAAGAAAGAAGGAGCAAACCACACAAGAACACCATACAATCACCCGTTACAACAGTGAGAAAGCACTGCTCATGCACTAGTAAATTTGAATGATGAAGACTTAACAATAAAACTAATAAGAACTACAATATTGTAATATCAACTTCATCATCTCTGTTCATAAAAAAGAATGTTCACATGAGCTGAGATGCAACACAGGACATTAATTAAGAATAGGCCCACAATTGCAAAATAATCAAATTTGACCTTCACAGAGGATGAGCACGGTACTGTCAGTAAACTACAACAGTGACAGACAGGCAGGGAAATCAAGGCATGACAACAGAATAAAAGAAAAGGAATGAAGCAGGGGTGCTTAAAAAACAGCTAACCGTAAGTGATATTATAGCATTTGAAAGGCAATTATAAGAGTTACCTTGCCAATAAACAGAGCCTGGGGCACCCATGACTAGAGCATCATCCTGCAGTCCAGAGGGAAGAAGTAGCATTAGTGCATCTAAACAGCATCACAGAACAATAGCAACATAAAAATAATAAGTAGATTTCTATAGAGCCAGCTATTCAAATAGGCTCAAGGAGCTTTTACATATTAATGAAACTGGTCATTCAACCAACATTCAAGTTCATAAAATTATTTATATTTATCTACACAGAAATATTAAAATACAAAGACCATCACACAAACACACACGCATGTGCACATGCACGCACACGCACACACTCACACATGCACGCACACACACACACACACACACACACACACACACACACACATAAACACATACACACATCTGCACATAGACATAAGCACACAAGTGCGCACACAATCACTTACCCTTCCTCATGCATCAAAATTAACATATACAGTATATTTTATTTACAAAAATAATTCATGGCTAAGTTACAATGAAGAGGAAGATTTCGACTACACAAAAATCAGTTTTATAGTTCTCCTTTATGTCATTATAAATAGGACCCAGGGAACACAAATATTTTCATTTAAAAAGTAAGAATATGAACTTAGATGGCATGACAACTTTTATCCAAAACAAAATTACTGAAGAAGATATGAAAATATTCCTCATCAAAATTCTACACACAGGACCAAAAGTTTCCACATAAAGGGGTACCACATAAAAGGGTAAAAATACAAGATCAAACTTGCTCATACATGAATACAATATTGACATTAAGACTCAGTACACTACATGAGTCTACTCTGTGCATTCATAAAGACCAGTAAATTATATGTAATGCCCATTTTCAAAAAGGAAAGACATCCCATTCAGAGATTTTACGAGTAAAATCATCTGCGATTCCTTTAGTGCACTTCTTTCTGATGAGCAAAAATACATTAAAAACGTCTCCTCGGTGGAAACTTTTGGTCCAAGAGGTAGTCAAAAACAAAGCATATTTACCTGTCCTATAGAGACTGCCACACCAGTTTGGCAGAGGCCAAAATCTTGCATGTACTGAGTGTGGGACAGTCTCTTACATGGTATAACAACATCTTCATAGTCCAAGGTTTGAGAGAATGTGAAACACATACCCAACGCTGCATTGTTTTGCACGTAACGATGGGCACAAGCCTAGTGGTGGAGAGGAAATCAATCCAAGGGGGAAAAAAAAAAACTTTGACAATGGAAATGTAGAAAAAGGTTGGATATACATTACCTGTCCCAGTGCTGAAGACATACCCGCCTGACACAGACCAAAGTTTTTCATGAACAAGGTGTGCGGTAGATTCTGGCATGGCCGGAAGAGTACTGTGTGGAAAAATTCTTGGTCCCAAACGTTGCAATAACCTAGGGCTGCATTGTCTTTGATGGCGCGATGGGCACATGCCTAGACAAAACATTGACTGTCAGTGATAGATCTACATCAGAGCCAAGGGAATGCAACAGATGGTTAATACTACAATCCTGTTCAGCAGCTTTTACTTTAGGTCAGTTTCTAAAATTTCAAAATAACGATAACTATTATGTAGTTAAAAAGTTTACAGCAAAGACTAAGAAGGTTATACTGTTTACTTATTTTTGTTTAGAACAGATTTTAACGTAATGGAAACATGCAACTGATGCTCAGATCGTGACATTTCCAAAAAAGGAAATACTCCCCACACCATAGATATCATAAAAAGCAATCTTCAGTCAGCTCAGACTGATCTGTATTCAAATCCACAAATCTCCCTTTTCATTCCAAAATAAAATCATAGAAAACAAACCATGCCAGTATGAATTTGGCAAACTCCAATTTTTCTTTATAAAAAAATATTTGGCTCTTCACAAGGAAGGACGCTTATTTCAAACTTCAGTCTGTTATGAGGCTTCACAAACAAATACTGAAGCCAAGAGAGAAACCCACAAGCTGCACACATCTGCTAGTGGAAGTGAAGTTTTGAAATGCTCAAAATGTGGCAAATTTTTCTCTGCCAGAATCGGTCTCATTGGCCATAGCAGAAGCCACAAGTCATCTTAAGTAACTTTTCTATTTCATTTTAGAAAATTTTCCTCTTCAGATGCATTGGTCATCATCAGACATTAACGGATAAACTATTATTACGGGAAAAAGGCACGGTCAGAGAGCCATGGAAAGTCCAAGATCGTACTGATCTGAACTAGTGTCTCTAGATTATAAGAAACAGGGGTCTCAACCACTTTACAATGCTCATAATGCAGACTCTCCAAATTAAGACAAATAACAAAAGAAACTAAAACAAAAAACACAAAAAATCAAAAATGCAAACAAAATCAAAGTCTGTATAATCATGTTGTATATGGACACTTCTCTTTCTGAATTCTGACCTTTATTTTCAAAAACCTTTCACCTACAAGTACTAGTGGCCAACAACCAAGATCAATTATTGCACCTCATCTGTTTCATGAATGTCTACACTTGATAAAAAAAATTCAGACCACCATTTTGATCTACTCTCTTTACACTCCATCTTAAGAAAAAGATTACATTTTTCCCAAAATATGCACCTCCAGCTGGTCTGCACTGCTTCATAAGCAAAGCTTTATGCTTTCATTGGCCTTGCACTTGCAAGTGATGGACTGCTTCTACCCTGCCTGTCACTACTGTCAGAGTAGCCCTGACTGAGTGGGATACATCCCAATCCCAGCTGAGAGACAGATATCTCATAAAATATGTACCTCACATGGTAACTCAAACTGAAGTTACATCAATTGAGCGAAAGGAAAAGAGCCAAAGGTAACCCTGCTGGTCCAGCAGATTTCAAGTGTTTGGGGTTGGGTTTTTTTAGAGTCTGCTGGGTTTTTTCCCCCTCACTGACACACTTTAGATCCTTTAAGAGGCGGGTTCCACCCTGCTTGTCAGGGCCAAACTTGGCTGAAAGAGATGGACACAATGTCCCAGCAGAACACTGAGATACTCCATAAAAATTATCCCCGCAGAGGAATCGAACTCAGGTCTTGTATGTGTAGCAGCCAAGTGCCTTCCTGCTACACCATACATGACATGACAAAGAGTTCATCTCTACCATTCTAAAATTTGAATTCTTTCTTTGTGAAGAAGATAACTTGTGCTTTTGCATAAAAATATGTTCACCTGCTATACATCAGTGAAAACTAAGAAATTCAACCCAGACCAGCAAAGTTTTTCTTTTCCTTCTCAAAATGGTATGGTAGTCTTCAAGTAACTGATTCAGTATGTTACACACACTCATTTATTATTAAAATATAAGGATTCCTATATTCAAAATTTGGCCAGCTGCAAAACATCAAATGTTTTACAGTGCACCCTCTCTATAATGACCTTCGATATAACGACGTCCTCTGTAGAGCAACCTGGTGCCCAGGTTCCGATTTCTTCTATATATATATCATTAGTAATTATTCGTTGCCTCTCTATAACGACAACTCTATATATAATGACATTTTTTTCTGGTCCCGACGATGTCATTATAGAGAGGCTGCATTGTATCTATTTGTTGTTCTCTTCTAAAAAAAAATCAACCATGACAAAGTGAACCCAGGAGAAAAAAAAAGGGAAAGCATGAAACAAAAAGACTAATAATCCTTTCACACATCTAGAAAAAAAAATGTCCAAAGCAGTTTTCTCACTTCTAGACAGCAGAATGAAAAACAGTTTTCTCTTCAAAATTAGCACTAGCGGACACCAACAGAGAAGTTCTCACAGAAAGAGGAAGCACAGTCGGCAAACTCAAGCAGAGCACAATGCACGGACAATACGATTTTTGCCAAACTTAATGAAAATAACAATTCATGGGAAAATCAGATAAAAACGTTCTTGGCAAGATACAGAGCATACAACTACAGTATAATTGCATTCGTTACAAATCTTTATTACTTTGATAAACTATGCAAGAGTCATATCTGCAGCAAAACATAATACATGCACAAAACATAACATGTGAATGTTGTGAACACTTTGACTTGATCTGATACATAAAGCACACAGAACTACTTTTTCTACAATTTGTAAAAATTTTCACTTACTTCAGCATTGCTGGGATTTGAGTTTGACAAAACATCGACAGTATAGCGGTCATATAGTGCAGGGGAGAAGCAAGAGAGATGGAGAGAAACAACTGAGGGAAAGAAAGGAAGTAGGACCCGCGTGCATGGTTGAGTTCTTCTTTATAGCAAGTCAGGAGGGTAAAGACCACGTCCAGCCAAGGACAGAAAAGGACAAAAATAATGCTGAAACTGAAAAGAGAAAGATGCTGACCATACCAGAGCACCCACCAACCATCCTCACACATCTCAAAGGATCATGCTCTTGTTGTTCTAGAAAAAGAAATGACAGCATATGTAATGGAAAAAATAAAGTAATAACCATGAGCCTTCCATTTGAACACAAAATGACTTTTTGCTGAGTACTTAATCGATAAAATGCTCCAAATTCTGACACTAAAACTGTCTTAATATGATTTACAGCACAGAAAAAAGGTTTTTATACTGCCACGAATAAGCAATCTTTCCTTCTTGTCTCTGTCAATTTATAAATTTGAAATTATAGCTAATTTACAGCATTGATTCTCCCACATGGGCTATGAGCACATTTGAAATATGGATAAGTCAAATACAAACATTTTATGTCATGGCAGGGGTTTTCGTTTACATAGCAAGCTTTTCCACAGGTACAGGTCAGACCATGAAAAGACTATATCATATGTATTTTGATGTGGGAACTGTGTTGTCAGAGAGCAAATCTTTAGCCTCTGCCTGTATGGCAAAAAATGCCCTTCCTCCAATGAAGAAGTTCTTTTAGATAAGGCACTGCAACTTCAAAGAAAAAAAAAACGCCTAAAGAGACAAATGGAGATTACTGCAGTCTTATAAGCATGCAACTAGCATGCAACTAAAAGGGACTCAAAATTATTCCTCTGAAAAATTTTCATTTGTTAAATGGACTGCCTACAGCAAATTAATATCTCCAAACAGAAAGCAGTTATAAGAACATTCAAAAGGAATTGAATGATTGATTTTGTCAACAGTACATTACTGGTTAAGTCTGATACTCAACTGGCATCCCCTTACTTAAAACCACTCATTCGACATTCATACCAAATTGCATGTGTCTGCCACACCACCACCTATGTTGATCTTCCAAAATGAACTGCACCGCCACTCATTTTGATACACATGTGTATTTTGATCTTCCAAAATGAACGGCACCATCACCTAATTTGATATCTTGATCTCCCAAAATGAACTGCACCACCACCTATTTTGATATTTTGATCTTCCAAATTGAACTGCAGTGAATGCAAAAATAGTGCTTGATAATGATATACAAAGAAAATATTGAGCTGTGATTCGTTACAAGTCAGCACGGTGAAAACCACATAGCGAGAAAAAAGCATCAATAACAACAATCATAATACAGTGGTCTCCGGCTAATAGCATAATGGATAAAGCATGATCCGTCTTAAAACATGCTGACAGCGCAGAACCAAATTTTTCTTTGGAAATTATCATTCATAAGTATAAGTTCTAAATCAACAACCTCATCTAATAGCACAATCCCTACTGCCCTAGCGTCAGAAAGAGATCAGACATAAAATATCTCATGTTGCTTGTAACTGATGGGAGAGAAGCAACTCCTTTATCGCTTGCAATTGCAATAACATTGCCAAGTAGAAAAAGATGTAAAAGGACAAGGTGAGAAACAGAATTGTGCACTGAGGAAGGCCAAGGACCGGCCTTTCACAGAGAGCGGACAGAATGGGAGAGCTGTAATAATGATGGCCATTGTCTGTTGTGATCATTCAGAGAAGGAAAAGTTCACACCTTAGGATGAGCTCAGCTCATTGATGCAACTCACCAAAGGCTATCAGATGCGAGGTAGTTCACGTCAATCATTGATGTAATTACTCTAGATCATCCCCCTTCAAAATTCGCGTATTAACACATTCACATTAGAGTAAGCTTTTCCTGTCACACAAGGTGCGTGCTATTAACTGGAGACCACTGTAATAATAAATAAAAACCTAACTAACATCAATGCACACATTTCAATTACAATGCTGTAGCATACATTCTACATTACGGTATCAAAAATAGTGCGAAAGACTAACACTTGTGAAACATCATTCATCTGAAATAACTTAAAACAAATGATATATCGTCACTGCCTTTCGCTATCCACATATAATTCATTTCATATGTTTTGAGTTAGAGCTATACGGGAAGTTGAAAAGGAAACTAAAATCTTTCATCCACGGTTAGAGAAGTGAAGAAAAATTACGACTTTCAAGGGTCATAATTCTTCCAAATTAAAATAGAACATAGATTAGGATTATTTTTTTCAAATTCAGTCAAAACGGAATTTTTGTAATTTTGGGTTATATACGGAGA